ATCATGCGATCACACTATTCAAGCCTTTTGCTACTGTAGTTTATCCAGAAGATATGCTTGTTTATCCTCACACGTATCGCAGCATCGCTATCAATCTTGACATAGCGAAAGCGACAAAAAGCTACAGATTAATGACGACTAAATATATCACCGTGAACATCTCTGCTCACTGAAAATAAGAAAACCGACTGGTAAAATCTATATTCAGTCAAAGGTGATAATTTTCGTTGGTCAATTACAGAATAGGAACGGATTGATAGGTTCTCAAGTTAGTTAGGGATAAGGGTGTGTCCCAAGCAATATGAAAAGACAACAACAAAGCAAAATCGGTAACTATTTGGTGTCCGAGTTAACATCAACTCTGAGATACAGATACATCCAGCTGACGTATCCCAGAGACGACGAAATTCACATTCTGGATTCCGGTGCTAGCCACCTTTCATCTCTGCCCAAAATCGAGAAAATTGTTGTACGTCAATGCTGTACATCGATGAATCAAAAGACCTTAGAATGAGGAAAAGGTGATGGTAAATCATTCATGGTGGTGGTGATAGGCGAATTAAAAGCACTTTAACCGTATGCGTAGATTAGAGTTAAGATGACGAATGCCTGCTACTTCCGGGATGAGTGGAAATCTGCTGTTATTGTCTTTTCATCACGAAGGAACAGTTATTAGGATTGATTGAACAGTCCGTAGGGAGAATTTGTTTTCCCATAGAGCCACTAAGTAATTTAGAGCCACTCCTCCTCATATTCCCTGTTATGCATTCAAATATTATTTTGGTGGACATCCTGTCCGGTTTTCAAAGCACGTATTACTTTGCGTACTGGAAAGCAGGTGAATGCACCTAAAAGTAAGTATATTTGGTCTATTTCGTAATTCTGATCAGGCTCTACGATTAACTGGGAAACTTCAGTGGAATGATATCAGATTTCCTGTGCTCTAATACCAGGCCTGGTTGACAATGTCTTAAAAAGGTCTCATTCATGTGAGATTTGGTGAAAATGTTTCTCCACTCAATATTTCTTATGGTAAATGGAACATGAGATCGGTCTAACTTCGTTTCCAATTGTTTTGAGGTCCGAGAAATTTATTCTGTTTTATGCCCAGTGCTTTGGTCCAACTTTATGTGGGCTCTATTAGATGGTCGAGATAACTTGTTTGTATGGTCTCTGATACCACATAAGATCGAACAATGGACGAGGATATGTAGGATAAATCACGGTTTGTCATACTGCATATGGAAGATTTGATGTGCTTGTGCTAATAAACCATCACAAAATATTTGGTAAGTTAGCCCAAAGAGAAATCTCGCTTGACGACAACACATCTCGTTAAATTAAAATGGCACATTTTCATGCATATCAACTGATATTCGCTTGGTCATTCCCTCGAGGATTAATTTCCATCTTTAGAAACCAATGTGCTATCCTTTATCCCTTCCATCAGGACATGAAAAATCATGTAACTCGCAAGTCAAATCATGCAATCCAGAAAATATTAACTTCTTCCTTATGTAGTACAAATACTGGACGATGATTAAGGCATGTGGTTTTGTATTTTCAACCAATCAATGTCAAGACATAAGTTTGTATGGATATTCTACACAGTGAAATATCCGTTGAGAAATGAAATAATGGTGTCTCGAACTCTAGTGACGGTAAGGAAGACAGGCTGGATATCGCTATTAGAAAAGGAAGTCATATTCGCTGATAATAAGAGATACGTTCTAGTTAGGAGTAAAAAGACAATGTACTCGTCTGAAAAACTGCACGAAGTATTTACACTTCAAGCAGAATCGGACAAACCCTTCTAGGCAGGATGAAAATAAACAAATTGCAAAACACTATACATTCGAAAGAGTAAACCTGATAAAGGTCTTTACATAAAACACTTTAAACAATGCTGGCAAAATTACTTATCTTTGCAGTCGTAGTCTGGGCTGTTTGCATAATAAGTTTGATAAGAATATAAACTATTTTACGACATAACTAACTGAACTTAGTAAATCAAATGATAGCCCATTTTCAGATGTTTTAAAAACGGTGACCTAAATGAACTTGGATTTATCACACATGATAGTCCAAAATCATCAAACCATTCCCAAACACAAATAAACACCTTAGAAAAAGTCATTCTGGACTGCTACTTTACCAAAATAAGTTTAGAGTTCAGAATTTTGAATCATTACAAGGTTTTTTCTAGCCCCGAGATACATGAACGGAAATATATAGCTTCGTCCTACGTCCTAATTAATACCTTCAGTCCTTCACAAAGATTTATGGTTGCTTTCACTGTAAGCCTGTTAAATTTTTTATCTAAGGAATACTATCTGGAATACGACCAAGTAATTTGTAGACGTCTTGGTTTCTAACTGAACGATTATGCATACGCTTTGTCATTGCTTGTTATAAACATCTCTGGACTTTACTTGCATCACTTACTGACCACAAGTTGTTTTCGTCACCGACGCTCCTGTCAGTCATGTTAAAGTTAACATTGAGAGTTCGGGGTTTATTAGTATGACTCATATTCTTATGTATGCAAGTACATTCCCCTGTTTCTATGATCAGTGTATCAACCTGATTGATTTATTACAGTAAATCCCGAAGCATGCGTAACATTTTGATGTTGTCTGTAAACTAGCATGCATCAATGAACGTACTGTTATTTGGTGATAGACTATGATTTTTTATGAATCTTTTATTCTTTCTTGATAACTTTACTAACAGACAATTCAAAAGTGAGTAATAGGTTTTCATATTTGTGTCATTTTCAAAGAATTTAGGAATCCAGAGAAAGTGATCTTTTTGTCACTTCTAATGCTAAATGGCTAGTGTGATTAATAACAAAAGACATCTGTGGGGGTCGAAGTTATTCGTCTTGAGACATACAAACAACCTTACCTTCTATACTGTCAATTCATGCAACCTGACGTTAAATTTACGGAAAAATAAGGGTAGAGAATAGTTAAGGAATCTTAGCAAGACTGCATTCACAACTACACAACTATAGCTCCACACATTTCTGCAGAATATTCGTTATATCATTGTCAAGTGAACGGTTGATTAATTTTCCTCCATTTTTCGTTTCCTTTTCTATTTTTAGGTACCATATTTGACGTGAGCCCATGAACAGCACATCTTCATAACCAAACGCAAAACTTCATAGGCAAGCGCTTTAACTTGAATTATCTCCAGGTTAATTGGATGGTAGAATGTTTTCATTGTCTGTTACGAGCTAACACAATATCACACCTAAGCCTTACCCAGTGAATAGGATTCTCAATATTATTTATTTTGGGAATAAGAAAGCTGCCAAAAGTGATTTACGACTTTCAACAGCAGAACTAGTCTTCGGGACGACCCCAAGTCTGCAGGGCAAGTTAATAAATCTGTGTACTGAAAGTAAATATTTTGACTTAGAAGATTACGTGGATCAACTACAGAACCAAATGTCCAGACCTGAACTGATTGATGCTCGTGAACAGTCAAAAGCTACGTATGTACCTAAGGAACTAAGCACTTCAAATGGGACGTGAAAAATAAAAGCCCCGCTTAGCTCTCCATTCACGCGCAAGTAAATTCTAGAGAGAAACTGATGCAACAACCTAAGGTGAGTTGTTGGGAGTTTTCCGTAAACGTCATGGTAATGCCAAAACCTTATAGCTCAAGTACTCATTTACCTTCTTATTCTGAGTAGACATTGTATCTACTTTTGTCCGACACATTGCTGACGATTGGAACATCGAGCTTCAACTGATTTATTCCAATTTCTGAATACAACCTAATAAACCATTAGCCTGACTTCTTCCAAATGCGGCAAAAGGGATAACTATCTGCATTAAAAGCTTTTTTCACAAAAGCTTCTGTGAGTGTCTGGTCGTCTTTCAATTGAGTCAATAAACGGTGTAAACACTTCTTTTTCAGGTAGGTTCCAAGAATGATGACTCCTTATGAAAACCTGTATGCCACAGTTATTTCGTTTGTTCTTGGCTTTTAGAATGGATATCTTGTTATTTTGCGTAAAATTGTGACGACTCCGGTGTAAGATAGCATCGGAGACTAATTGGCAGCAAATATATCTGAGGCCTGTTATCACGGCAGCTGACAAGTGAAAAAGAGAACAGCATGTGAAGCAATGTATTCATGGGCGGAAATCACTGTGCCTTGAGAGTAAGTAACAGAACAGTTACGAAAGATTGATGTCAAATTTAAACAACGCTTTTGCAGTCAATAACGGTAATTGTACAAGTCATACTGAAATGTGAAAAAATGCGAATCGTGAAAAAATTGGTAACGAAATATGTTCGAGTTAACTATGTCCATAGAACTCATAATGAAGACAGTCCTGAGGTAATCCGCCTTAGCTTTTCGCTTGTTCCGGTCTTTCTCTATCTTTTAAGACGTGTTCCTTTTTCTATTTAGGCCAGGAATCCATGGATACATTTGTGTCCTGCAAATCACGTATGGCGGCAGTCACTTCGACTGTTTGATTACAGATTGCGACAACCAATTTCCATATTTCCCCTGAGTTGCCTGGATTATGTTTACACACTTACGCCGGATCGATTTTTTAGGGAACACGCTATTTAGTATGAGAAGGCTGATGAAAAATTTATTTTCTTTTCTCTTGTCATGGTAAATGTCGAATAGCGAGATTTTGTACAGGGATGGACGTGTATTTCTTCTCATGGACTGTCCAGGGTATAAATGGTTAAGTTACTTGATTATATAGATTTCAGGAGTGACTTGATGCCGATTTTACTGATTCACCTTAGCCGATTTTCCATTTTCAAGTCAAGGCCGCAGAGTCTTCAGATGATATATAATGAATAGAAAGTGAATGGGAGATAAAACCATTTAACTCCCCTAGGTGCCGGATACATTCAAGGAGAGGTTCAGCTTTTAAGGCGTTAATAATTACGTGAAATAATAAAGACCATACGTTCATGTATATTGCCAATTACAATTTGTTTTTCAAGTCAATGAATGATGACACTGTATAACCTTGAGAGCGCAACTTCTAGTTGCAGTTTATCTGTTGTCGCGTGGTTCAGTGTACGTATTTCTCCTTAATTCTCCAATTCCTCATAGTGCTTGCTCAACTGAAGCACCGTGTTTAGAATTTCTTGAACTATTTCTTTTGGATTATTGCACATTAAATTCCATGCTTATGTAATAACTTTTGTGTTTGTGAATTACTCCGTAATATCAAATTTGTCCGAGATCTAAAACAATCATAAAATGTGATATCATACTGCAGCCTCAAGATCAACGTAGTTTGAGGTGACTGGCACATCTATGTTCACGTCCTATTTTATTTTTCTGATTACCAGTGATAATAAAACGGTAGGAGCGTGATCATTGGATAAACCCTTCTTATGGAATATAAGACATAGGTTTAGTAATGTTACTTAAAATCTATTCATGTTGCCTTCTGTTTCTCTGTAATTATAGCTCTTACAAGTCTTTTTTCAAATTTCATCTGTGTGAATTGTTTTTGAAATATCAGACAAATATTAAAACACTCATAACAAAAATACCGAAGTAAAAGTGGTCTGAGTATTTGTTATCCGGTGATGACTTAGATTTATAAAATCTACTTACTTGGAGAAACACAGTATACAAAAAGCTAAGTTGTTTTCACAACGTCTTTGACCATCCGTTGTGTAAAGAAACGAGAACCATCAATAATCAAACACGTTACAACAAAGAGCTTTTATTTTCAGGAACACTGAAGCTAAATCTATCAAAACATAGTGTTGATTGACTTTCAACATAGGTATCGTTTTAAGAACCAATTTTACTGGAGTATATAAGTAAATCTGCATTGATTAGTAAATTTGCTGAGTCACAGTGACATGTTATGGCTTGGTTTTAGCTAAAACCTTCATTTTTCGCTCAAAGTAAAAATTACGACGTTTTCAAAAAGCTGTTATTTTGTTTGATTTTAATTGGTTAAATAAGTTTCTAATATACCTAGTCTTCCTAAGACTTGTTCGTCATAATTAAATGGGACGTTGTATAGATTTTTGCATATTTACACACCTGACTTCAGATTTCAAGCGCCTCCTAGAATTTAAGTATTCGTAAAGTAAGTTCAGCTCCTATTAACTCAATGGCTCTTCGAAACACACTGATTCGATGTAAGCAGTAGCAATTATCTCTTGATGATGTTTCTGAAGACAAAAATTGCAACGAACCATCCAAATTTTTAGTCTTGTATTTATTCATTGTCGCTTTGAGTTTATGTGCTCTACATCGTCAAACAGAATGAGTAGATCAATATTTTGCTCTAACGGCATATCGGTCCCTAACTTGTCCACTAAGACGTCTTTGTTGCCGAAAGAATAGGAAAGTATTTAGAGGTTAATTTCTCTGTCTACCTGGGTGAGGTATTTGGGATTTCGGTCATTGCAATCAACGATAGCAACTATCACAAATGTGTGCCCGGATTTCTTGAAATGTTAACTCGCAACGCGAAATGCAACCGAAGTCTTCCGGTTTGGCTAACTAAGCCATTAAAAATACTGATTAATTTAGCTTTTCCAAAGTGCCACCTATTTAATAAAGAAACGAATCAAATAGGTATTAAATGTAGCTTTGTAATTTGAGAGGTCACTTCGTGATCTTGGTACTTTTATAATGTTAAAGTATACGTGATCGTAAAAACCTACACAAATAAAATGTGGAAATTTAAGATTATTTTAAAAAAATGGAACATTGTAGTCAAGGTGACTGTAATGTAACTATCGTACGTTAATCTGATAATTTTTAAGGATATTTTCTGAAGAGCGAATTGGATTGGTAATCACACTTAGTTTTGCTTCAAAATTTTCTAACCTTAGAGTTGTTTGTGAAATGGTTGGGTCATACATATCTTGTTTTTTTTTAAAAATTCTTACCGAATACATATTTTAAAGTGATAACTAACTCGATGTTTATTTTGTTAACCTTTAAGTATTTTTCTAGTGAACTGTAATACGAAATGTCACCAACTTTCCATTGGTCAGATTATTTGATTTTTGCTATTTCACTTATTTGTTACTCCCTGATTGGGATTTATCATCGATATCATGATGTAATTTTTGAGAAATTAACTAGTTGTTTTCCTGGTATCAACTTTAAACTAAAAGTCAGAAAGAAAATGAACGTAGAAGAATTATTCTTAGGTGATCGTAATTTAACTTTGTTACCTATTGTTGGAAGTGTAATGGCCAGTTTTTTATCAGCTGTCGCTATATTGGGCACTGCATCTGAAGCTTATCAATGTGGTATTCAATTCATATTATTGGTTGGGGGTTATTGTATTGCATTTCCATTAGCTGCATATGTTTATATGCCAGTATTTTATAAACTTAGATTGAACAGTGCTCATGAAGTAAGTTGATTAATTTTGATATGTATATATCTTTTGTTTGCTGTAGTGGTAACTGTATTACCATAAATATTGAACTAACTCTTAAACTTCTTTCGATGGCTGATTATTTCTAACATGAATTTACATAGATTGTGGGAGAAATACCAGTTATTTAATCTTGTAGTCACATTTGTTGCAAACAAATGGAGGATTATATAAGTATATGTGATGGGAAAATTAACGTAATAATTTTATGCAAACTATTTTTGTATGAAGATGAAGTGATATTAAACGATTGTCAAAATCGAAGTATTCGAGGCGGTGTAATTCAACTACTACAGTCACTAATCCACTCATAAAATACGAAGTCATCTGGCTACTGTTTAATGTACATTCAACTTGGCAATTTGTCACGCACTTGCTGCAGTTGTAGATTACAGTCTAATATTTGGATGCTTATATTACTAGTGAAGTGGACATACGTTCGATTTCCATGGTTCTATACATTTTATATTGCAAAGCACTGTAGTAGTCGTTAAGCAGTTTGATAGATATTGTCATTGAATACTTGGGAATTTGAAAATGTGAACTCAGGAAGGTGACTTCCCCACTAAAATAGAATAGTAATAACCAGACTTACATATATCGCTAATTACTGTTCTGATGTAGAACTGATTTTTGTCATAAATGTTAACTACTTACTTAGTTTCTAGTCTTACATTAAAAGTCTTCTAGTTTTAGCTCTCAGTATATATTATGCACAAAGGAATTCTCAAAAGTCGGACATGTAAGCATATTCACATGTGCTTCAGTTCTTTTGTCAAAATCACAAGAACACTCTTTTCATGCGTTACTATCCTTTAAAGTGTTTATGTTATTTAATAACCTTTTTTACAGAGAATTTATTAATGAATAATTTTCCTAAAATTCTTATATATGTATCTAAATCATTGTATTGTTGAGGTCATGAGCCGATTGAAGCTAGACCACCATGGAAAATCTGAAAGCACTGGACGGCCGTTTCGTTCTATTGTGGGACTCCTCAGTATTGCGAGGCGGGATCGTGGAGGCGTACTGTTGGTCTAACTTCAATTAACTCATGATCTGAACTATATAAAAAAATTACTGAAAATCTCCATATAACCCCCCTTCTGATAATTTGTATTGTGTTTGCATTTTGCTTAAATTTTATTGAACAGTATTTAGAAATGCGATTTGGAAAACTTGTTCGATGGACAACTTCACTTGTATTCTTATTACAAATGGTATGTTCATTATTTCACATATATTATCACTTGAGTTTTATAGTTATATAAACAATTACTTTGAAATAGTATCATTTAAATAAAAACTGAAAAATCAACACTGTTATAATTATTTTAAGGGTTCTAGGTAGTGATTTTCAGCCATTCTTCAATAAGTAGAAAACTGAAGTTTAAGTTGATTACTTTAAAAAAAAAGTATAGTGAAGCGACATTCATCTTAGTAACTACTTATCATCCCTCGCTTTATAAACTCTGTTGAAATATGAGATATATAAAAATTATTTAAATCGAAGGTAGATTTTATCATATACTGACTGTGTCGTAATAATTTAAGACTTCTCGGCAGTGTCCGCAGACAATCCTATATCTAATCGAATATGGGATTTTCAAATCTTTGTGCAATCACCCATTTCTGTTTATTTTTAGGTAGTAAGTGACATCGTAAATATTTTGCTATTGGTTCATTTTTCATTTGTTTTGTACCATTAAGGTCCCCTAAATGTGCTGGTACGGCCAAGAGTAAGGAGAGCCCGTCCTCCTTCTGGAAATGCTCTCACATGGACACTCGTATACAGCCTCTGCCAGGGAAGTCCTACTCACTGCATTCTCGTGGCGGGAGTGTTGTTTACGAAATTGAGAGGACGAAAAGCGAATGTTCGGTGTTTTAACCGGGTTGGTGGGCATGGAAAGTCCACCTAGGGGAGTTGAAAAACCCTGATTCCAAACCAATGGTGCACATGGGTTCCAGCACCCTGAGGGAACAAATGGTGTATGAACCAGTCGTTGGTCACCGGCTACTATGGGACTGCATCTCCTTACGATGCTTCACTGCTTTGTGGATCAGATCCTCAGGTTAAAGGCTCGGAGAGTGGTCCCCTAAGAATACCACCTTCTTTGGTTTGGGCACCCGGAGAGCATCATAGCCCTCATACAATTCAAATGACATGACAATGTTTTGTGTGGCGCATATATATATCTGGTTCCTCCACGTACCAATATTTGTGTGTTCAAATAAATAGATAAATTGTACCATTAAATTTAGAGATACTTTTCATGTGACCTTACTTTTCTAATCCGATCTGCCTTATGGGATGAAATTGTCTTTCATATAGAATTGATATAGTCACTTACTAGTCGCTCACATATTAGTAACCATTGTCAAATCATTTAACCTTTAATACTTATCTATTGATTATGTTGCAATATTGCTATTATTCTGAATGACATTTTTTGATTCCATCAGTTAATGTCTATCTTAAAATCCTGTTTCACTAATGATCAATTTTCATTATTCACCTTTTTTAAATTAATCCTTTATTATCTAATCTGCATATTTACTTACTGTGCTACTCATATTTTTTTGTTTTGTTTTATAACCTCTTTTAAATTATAACTTGTAGACAGTTTACATTGCTCTTGCATTATATGCGCCTGCTTTGGCATTCAGTCAAGGTGAGTAATTATTTTGTTTACTTGGAAAAAAAGTGATCTGAGAGATTGATTATTATTATTAATATTAATAGTAGTACTAGTAGTAGTAGTAGTAGTAGTAGTAGTGGTGGTACTAGTAATAGTAGTATTATCATTTTTACTAATGCACACATGTTTTGATTGGTTTCTACACCTTGGAACGGTGACCATTTCTTGTCAAATTAGTCTCTCTCTCTCTCTCTATATATATATATATTACAGAGTTACATTTTTGTGTAGGTCACATGACATTTAGATCATGTTTATATATATTCATTGGAAAATGTTCAACTCATTTATTTAATCTAACTCTATCTCTTTTCTATATATTGATTTATTTCTTTCATTATTGTTTCTATGGATTTTTGAAGTTAGTGGTCTACCCATATGGATATCTATATTATCTACTGGTTTGGTGGCTACATTTTATACAGCTTTTGTAAGTTAGATTAATCATTTATATATAAATTGTTTTTTATCTGTTTAGATTTAAGTAACTGAATAATATGAACACCAATGATAAGCTAGCTGTAACTAGTGTTAAAAGAAGTTAGGTGACTGACAATCGAAGATTTGTTTCAAAGGTTCAGATGAAACTGTACTTCACCTTCCCTTTTAAATCTGAAGTTTAAATAATACCTTCTACGTTGTTTTTTTATTCTGTGAATTCATTCTTTAATTATCTTGTCTATGTCTAATGTTTATCATGACTACTGATACTGTTATTGCTTCTACTACTTTGACATTGGTTTTAATGATTTCATTTCATTGTGCTGATGTAATGTGGCAAATTGAATCGATGCATATATGTACCAGGTTATATGTTACTTATGACTAACTGAGTAGTCATGACGCTTCAAATGTGCCTCAAAGACAAGTATAGGAATAATTGAACAGGAAGGGTAAGTTATAATCTCTATGACATGAACAGAAACATTCATTTATATTCACCTCGTGTTACAAATCATAAGAAATTGAAATATTTCGTCGTCTTACTTGTTGATTTAAATTTATTTTAGTTGAAATAAGAAAGATATATGAAAGCAGGGTCTGGTCTAGGATCGAAAATGAAAATTGCCCATTCAACATTACATAATTCATCTAAATACATTTGTTGATTGTTGAAAGAATTTTTAAGCTGACCTATTAAATTTGTTAAAGTTCATGAACATTAAAACAAACAGTTTATTAGAATTATCAGAAGGGGTTTTGTGGAGATTTAGTGTTTTTATAGTTGAAAGCGTGAGTCAATTGAAGCTATACAACCATGAAAAACCTGGAAGCACTGGACGGCCGTTTCGTCTAATTATGGGACTCCTCAGCAGTGCGCATCTACGATCCCGCACTAGCGAGATTCGAACGGTTGTTCAACTTCGTGGATCAGTTGAAGTTAGTCATTAACACCATTGGATGCCGGCTCAGCGGTCCATCGGTTAAGTTCAATAGAAATTTGTGGTAAACTTTATTAAAGATGTTAGTCGTAAAATTATATTTATAATAATCTCGTCGATTGATGTCCAAGTTATTCCAAGACTACATTTATTCTGTAGATTTTAATAACAATAACATGAGCATCTTATAGCAACTATCCTACAACCAATTTTGGTTAGGGCCTTTTATTAACTGACTTAACAGACAACGTTACTTGAACAGTATCAATTCGCACATCTCTTTGTAACGTTTTGTTCACGAGAGCACATGACAGACTCTAGCTAGAATGTTGGTCGCTTAAATATCACTCGATGATTCATCCTCCTCCCCATGTATATATGTACTCAAATCCTGTTATTAGCTTGTGCTTTGCCTTGCTCTACCGTTATGCGATTGGACTATAAATTTGCCTATGTAATTGCTCACATATACTTATTTGCTTATCCGCTTCAAATTCACTCGAGTACTCATAGCTTTGTAATCTGCGCTATCCGTTGGTATAAACTGTAGTCGCCGCTTCTCATTGCCTTCTGATTTCAAACACTGTTGAGATTTATATTATAACTTATTAAGGTGATCAATTGACGAAGCTAAACCACTACAATTCATACAGACACCTCCACACGTCTCACGCTGAACATATTAAATAGTAAATAATTCACATCTTACTGTACGCGAAATTGAGATCTGAACATTCTTGGACATTCTTGTTTTTATGCAGAATTGTTTCTGACCATAATTATCTTTGGCTAATTCCCTGAATAAGCTTATATTATTGAGCGAAACATCGGAACTACCTAAAGTCTTGATCCCTTCTTTAAATATCTGTTTTAACTTGTACTAGTAATTCTTATATCTTGTACCTGCCTATTAGAGAGCGGCGATTTATTGATCGGACCATTAACACATGAAGCCCGCACGAGCAGTCTAGAGCATTTGTTGGTCCTGATTTCTGTCTAGCCCAGCCAGTTAAGTCCAGAACAACAATAACAGCCTCTCAAATATGAATCGTTATATTTCAAATAAACTGAGTTTATATACCAAACAAACTGACCACATCATACCATAAGATAGAAAATAATATTTGTACAAGATTTAGCTAAACGTGGCGGTGAATAGGGGAAAGAGTAATTAATAGACTGGGCACAACTCAGGAATGGCAAATCGTATAGTAATAGTCTGTGGGTCAAGATGAAACTTACAATTAAAGGAACATGAATATGAATAGTTAAGCTACTTAACAATTATACAACAGGAAATATACATATCATATGGGTCTATAAATGGGTCTCAAAAGTTACCATTCATAATCCTTTTCAGAATATAACAATATCAAAATGTCTATTCATTTAGTTGCTGATTTAGTTTTCCTTCAAAAGAGCTTTAGTTTCTTGTTTCTGGTCCATTTTATCGGATTAGAGATGACATGTTCTTTTGAATTCTGCTAAAAAAAAACTACTACGAGATACCATGGTAAAATAACAACTAGATATGTAGAGGATACTAGAGGATGTATTGCCGTGCTTCATTAATAATTCACTTCGATAATCATTATTATACCAATCTTAACGGTGCATAATATCAGAAGGCAAAGGGAAGCGGCAACTACATTTTTATTGATGAATTATGCAGACCAGAAGGTTATAAGCACATGAGCAAATATTAGCGAGCGAAACATAAACGACATGCATTGGAGATGGCTGGTAAGCCAACTCGACAGAGCGAAGCTAAATAATGCGTATTGGAGATGGCGGGGAGGCCAACTCATTTTAAGCAAGCGTTATTCAACATTTATAGTCAGACAAAAATGAATGACAGACATATGATGAATAAGATACGAAGTATGCATACACATATGCTCACATAAAAAAGTAGTCAGGGTTAATAATCGAGTAATTAACGAGATCAAAATATAACTCATAATGTATAGATGAATTGGCTTGGCCAGTAACTAGAATAAAGTATATGGGCTTAACGTATAAACCGAAACTACAATGACTAGTTTATGTCGGTATCACTATTACATTACAATTAATGATATGAGTGAAACGCATAGATTTATAATCTGTCAAATATTAATTAATCTAATTAAAAGATGACAGGAACCGGATTTTCTCTGAAATAATCCATTAGAATCTTACACTTATTATGAGTCTTCGTCTCTCCGATCTGCTTCGTCGTTTGTTAATGAGTATTCACTATTACACTGTTAACTGTACAATTTGTAACAGTCATTTATTCTGTGGTTTCTTTTGACCATTTAAAATGTTTTTTTAGGGAGGTATTCGTGCAGTTGTATGGATTGATCTTTTTCAACTGATTGTTCTCATCAGTGGTTTATGTTTAATTACATTATTAATTACTTTAAAAGTCGGTGGATTCCAACGTCTATGGGGTATAGTAATAAACGGTCAGCGTGTCCAATCATTCGAGTAAGTGAGTTATATGATAAGTTTAAATGATTTTTTAAAATTTAGAATCTCACATCACTGACTGACTTTCTTTAGACAGCTATCGAAAAACAGGAAGGCTGGACAGTTGTTTTGTTTATATCCACTCCTAAGTAGTTCTATACTAGGACGATCCAGCTGTTGATTGTCTATTAGTTTTACAGTGTTGTCTAGGAAAAGTTGGTTCATGGTATGAGAATTAAAGTTTAACAATCAGTGCAACAGCTGATATTAACATTTCTATATATCTGGATTGTAACCGTTAAAGCATTACTTATAACTTATGATAATTTACTGTTTTTCCTGATCGCTTTTTTTATATCGATTCGAAGAATTCCTTAACTTTCATTCGTCTAGTGTTGTCACTGTTTATAGAATAATCGATGTACTTATACAAAGGATAATCTAAGGAATTGACTCAGTTTTACTTCATTTCACAAGTCTTTTTCCCATTTATAATGCCTCAAAATTCTCATTCTTATTAGATGATTTTCCATAATATCTCGAATTTCTCTATGCAAACTCTTGACATTTTAAATCACAGCATCATTGTTATAGGCTGCATTAAAACGTTAGGATTTTGTTCCTTTTCGGATTGTTGATTATTGAACAAAGCTCAGTTATTAGGGAGATTTTTATTTTATTTTATTTAAACATATAAATATTGGTACAATAGGGCACCAGATATATATGCGCCACACAAAATAATGAGAATGAAAAGAGAAAAGGGGTATGATGCATATATAATAAAAATGAGAATAACGATGGCGGAAACTAAAATGTACAACCAGAAGAGCTCTTTCAGTTAAAGAAGTTATGACTACTCTTTATAAAGAAAGTAAAAGAAGGTTACAGCAGGATCGCCACTGGCTTCTATTTTTAGTCATATCTGATAACGTCTTTAGCTACTGTATAGCACCATCTCTTGGACCCTAGCCAGGGAGTCGTGAAGAACCAACAGAAGCCAGCCCTTTACAGCTTTCTTTCATACCATGACATGATGTCATATACTGACCACCAACCAGTCCGAGCGTTGGCAAATAATGCACGACGTGGAATTCTCTGGGACGACATTCGTAAAACATGTCCAAGCCACCGAATTTGATGTTTCAAGATGGTGACACCAAATGGATAGATTACAGTTATATCGTAGGTGTTTCGTGTAATTGCATCTAGTTTCCGAATCGTATAGCAAGAGCTCACACGTATCATGTTTGATTTTCAGTAAATTTCTCTACCGTTAAGTGTTGATTTCTATAAGTTGTTTTGCATAAAAATTTACCCAATGGGTTTGCAATAAACCTGTAGATACTGATATTAGAATATAATCTCCACATATTTTTCAAAGTGTGAAAGTCATTGTATCATTTCTCTCCAATCACGTTAATATATTAGTTTGAAGAAACCGTTGACCAGTGATTTATACAGTCGATTTTCGTCCATTCAATTACCAGTTTATTCTCTATGTATATATATATATATAATACACTCTGTAACATTTAAGAACCCTGCATAAACCATAAGATTCTGAGTTTTTTACACTAACTTATACTTTGTAATTGAGTTGACCAACTCCAACCACCATCTTATCTCAACATAGTGCACGCAGTGTCTAGCCACTTAGACTAAGGACAACATTTCAACTTGATCGATAGCATTCAATCAGCACTAAGAAGGACTTGATACGTATGATACCGATCACCACCCAGTGATCAATCAAATGTAATTGAGTTACTTTATATGTTCACTTGATTGATATTGAACATAAAGTGGGCCTAAATATAACCTTCCGTATCTGTTTGAATATACCACACGGTTTACATATTTATCTTTTGAAATCTATATATCTTTAAACTGAAGTTTCTTCACAGAATTCTCTTCATCCTCTAAATTTGTTTTTACTGATTAACAATAATATGAGTTAGAAATTCCGTTGACATTGTCGGTAACTTGTTCAAGATGAAGTGAGAACTATAAAGAAACTAATACTCGAGAGGATATTTACCATTTAAATATGATTTTCAATGCTTAAATCAACGTAAACTGTATGGTAAGCAAAGATGGATAGTAGCTAGCAGTAGAATCCAGTCTGACGAGCGTTTCATTCTATTTGGGACTCGTCAGCTGAATGTACCTGCATCTCAGAGTTGATGTTCACTCTGGTACTCAAACTCAGTACCTTTCGCTTCAAACGCCATCGCGTTATCTACTCGGCCAAATATAGGTTCATATCAAAATTATATTGTGATTTACTAACATGCATCTATATACTACTTTGATAAAAAGTCCCATTCTTTAGGACTTCCTTCCTAAGTGTTCAATTATTCATATATTTTTCTAGTTTCAGTACTGATCCTTTTAAACGACATACATTATGGACTTTAATTATTGGTGGGACCGGATTGGTTCTTAGCATATTCGGTGCTAATCAAACACAAATTCAACGTTATTTGGCATGTAGAGATTTAAAAACTGCTCGAAGGCATGTTATTTTCTTGATTGTGCTTAGTTTCGTAGTGTCCATCAATATTCTTAATTGTTTATGGTGTTTGGGACTGTTTTTGAATACTTAACTGATTAGTGAACTGACGAAACTAGTTCATTATACACATGACGGAGTATTATGAGTACTTTTTTCATCGATCTCAAGCAATATACAGATAGAAGTTTATTATTTGGTGTCGTGTAACACGGAATAATATTTAGATGAATAATAAAGTAATTTAAAAATGAATATAATAGGCTTGCATCGGGATATCTTTGTCAGTACAGATTTCTTGAGAATCTTATCAATAAAGAGTATATTGTATCGTTTTGTTCGAAACTAATTGTAACACAAAGCGGAAGGGTAAAGATATGGTTGTAGCGTATATATAAAAAACTGAACATGATCTTAGGTATTTGATTTTAGACTCACACTGGACAGATAAGTCGTTTGACAGTGTGTATAGGAGAACGCTATGGGACCTTCTTTGACATTATGGTGCACCTGAAAAAAATCGTCAACATCACCCCGAATTCATATGACGGACTACATTGCAAAGTGGTGCATGGAGGACAGCTGACAGACTCATTCGACTTGAGGACCGGAGTCAGTCAGACATGACTGTTTACTTTCTCTCGCATCCTTATCTTTCTTCTGCTGGTTGATTGGATTACGAAGATTACAACATCTGATGGGAAGCATGGAATATAATGGTTAGCTCGAGTGAAACTAAACTATCTGGACTTAGTAGATGATCTAGCTCTTCTATCCCATACACAGCGACCAATTCGGCGAAAGACAGCTAATGTAACAACAGCCTCTGCATCAGTAGGCTTCAACATACACAAGGGTAAAAACAACATCCCAAAATACAATACGGAGAATACCGACTCAATTACACTCTATGGAAAGGCCCTGGAAAATGTGGAATCTTTAACGTACTTAGGAAGTATCATTGATGAACAACGAGGGTTTGATGCAGACGTAAAAGGCGTGGTTTGGCAAATAAAGGGTTGTATTCTTTCAGTTGAAGAAGATATGGAACTCAAAACCACTGCCAGCCAACTTCAAAGACACCATCTTTAATACGAACGTCAAGACAGTTCTACTGTAAGGAGCTGAAACTTGAAGACCTGCTACAACCATCATCAAAAAGGTACAAGTATTTACCAACACTTTTCTACGTAAGATGCTAAATGTCCATTGATCACGTACCATCGGCAACAGCCTACTGTTGAAGAGGACAAACTAGCTTGCAGATGAGGAGGAAATAAGGAAAAGACATTGTAAGTGAATAGGATATACATTGAGAAAATCATAAACTGCATCACGTAGCAAACGCGAATTTGGAATCCTGAAGGCAAACAGGAATGTGGAAGGCCAAAGAACACATTGAGTCGGGAATCAGAAGTAGACATGAAAAGGATGAACAACAACTGGAAAAAACTTGTAAGGATTTCCCAGGACAGAGTTGTATAGAGAATGTTGGTGAGTGGCCTATGCTCCTCCGCGAAAGGTGATCGGCTTAAGTAAGTTAGATCTTGTATCATAATAAACAGTCGGCGAAAATTTGGAGAGTAGGTAGGATTTGTAGTTGATGAGTACATGATAGAAACAATTGTAAATGAGTAATAATTAAAATAAACTTATAAATTTGCATATATTTGCACCAATATGCAATAGTGGTATCTGTTCCGTGCGGCGGATTTCACCACTTGTTGATTTGATTGAAAGATAGTTAGTCATTTGCACAGCACTGTCTTACGTACTCATAATTGATTTATATTTCTTGTCTGACCTTTTCTAATACTAATCATGTGAATTAGTAAAATTAAACACGTACAGTTCTGTTTAAAGCTGTGAATTCTTTGCTGATAATTTAATGCTTCAATCATTAAGCCAATCCTTCGTAGAAGTGTTCAATCATGATATTTTTGTTTTTACGAATCAAAAAATATGAGGAATAATAACTATGTTTAAAGTGACTGAGCTGGATAGAATGGAGCAGGACAAATATAGGACCAAGAATCAAATCAAAGGGAGATACGATCAGAATAAAGAAGTAGACAGCAACAAGTTAAAGACGAACAATAACCAATCAAGATTGAGGCCTACAGGACAAGCTGTGGATCATATGTGGAGAAATTTAAATACTTCACTTCTACCTGAAGTTTGTGGTGATGATGTTGTTTAGAAGAATAATGAAACTTCCACTACCAAACCATCCAACTGAGAGAACGAAACTCCAATTAAATCATCCACCTGAGCCACAAATCTTCTCCAATTTGTATGTTAACACATATGAGAAAATTTCCACTTATATTCTAATATTTAGAGATATAGGTACTCAATGTGAATATGAAGACTAGGATTCCGGTAGATTTAATTGATAAGTACCGAAAACCATGAGACAATACATATATAGGAAAACGTGTAACAAAATGATTTTACTGAAGCATCGACAAAGGATGTGCGCAAAAAAAACACTGAAAAAACTTTTCTCCTGGATATAAAAGATGTGATAATATGAACCTTCATAGATATTATCTCATTACATAATAGTACGCGAATGGTATAAGTGATATGAAGATTTTGTTTGTTTAATTAATGATCGATAAATGATATAATTTGACCGAATGATGGCTGGTAATGATAGCAAATTACTCATGAATTATTCAAAGCCAGAACCAAGATCATTAACCAAGTGAATAGGTTGGGAATGTGATGCCTACAAATGCCCCGAGAGTGGGGAGAGTCAGCTCTCCCTCTCGAAATGCTCTCAAGTGGCCACGCGAATATATAGCCTCTACCAGGGGAGTCCTACTCACTGCCTTCTCGTGGCGGGAGTGTTGCTTACGAAATTAAGAGGATGGAAAGTGAATGTCCAGCGCTTTAACCGGATTGGTGGACATGGAAAGTTCACCTAGGGAAGTTGGAAAACCCTGATTCCAAACCTATGGTGCACATGGGCTGGCTCCAGTATCGTGAGGGAACAAATGGCGTATGAATCAATCGTTGGTCACCGGCTACCATGGGCCTGCATCTCCTCACGATGCTCCACTGCCTTGTGGACTAGGCCTTCAGGTCAAAGGCTCTGGGTGTGACCCCCTAAGAAAACCACCTGCTTCAGTTTGGGCACCTGGGCAGTATCACAGCCCTCAAACAAATCAAATGAGATTTGTGCGGCGCATATTTATCTGGTGCTTCCTTGTACCAATATTTATGTGTTTAAATAAACGAATAAGAATGTCATAGAGTGACATAATTATATTTAAAATCCCAACACAGAATAAACATCGTAAAATGCCTTAGGCTTTTAGAGGAAACTGATTTATAGGTCACTCATTGTACAATCAATTTAAATGTGATTGTTAGACCTAATTATTAAGTATTGTATTACATCTCCATGAAACAGGTTAAGATCCTTCTGTGGCGAAATCGGTAACAACAATGTGCTTTCATCCTATTTCGTATGTTCTCCAGGTTTCATAAAAATGATGTTTTTATCCAGTCTTTTTTTCATCTACTTTCTCTTTAAACTCCACACTTGTCACACGCTTTGAGTCATAACAACGAAAGTAAGTGAAATGCTTTTGTGATGTAACAGATGATGTCACTGGTTCTTGTGACATTTTTGATGAGTAGCTTCTGTGGGCTGATCTAGAGCCTGTGTTATAGAGTCGGCTAAATATTGTGAAGCTACAGTTGAAGATATCAAACTTAAAATCAAAGAACATTCATGGAAGTGTGAATGAATATGATGTGGAAATAACTGCAAGACTGTCGATTGACAATGTTATATCATTGCAAATCATCCTACGATTAATATCTTTTCTCTCATTTGAAAAATGAAAAAAATCGTCTATCAAACTAATTAAGGTTTCTATAGCAATACGAAAATCAATACAGTAAAACATGTTCCGATTCAGTAAACTAATATCATGCAGAATAAATGGATATAAATAGCAATGGATTGAAAGTCAATGAAGAGAGTGCACTTTAAATTATTGTATGGATTTGAACGTTGATTCCTTCCTAAGTATTATATTTGACAGTTTGGCTTCCTCAAAAATGATTGAATTATTTATCAATGGTCAAAGTGAAAACACAGTATAGACAGACATGTTCATTGTAGAACATCTAGTTGGTGTCAAACCAGTCTTTGCAGTTCTACACAAGTGTTTAAAGTCGTTTATGAAGGTTTATTGAAGCATTGACCGTGCAAAAATTCAAGTCCTTTAAGTGTTCGAAAACAGTTTGTTTTCACCTTTATGATAATGATTTATTATTCAGAGTAGGGTTTTTCTAGGATGAAACGACCGTCCACAGTTGTCAGGTTCTCTATGGTGGTCTAGCTTCAATAGAGTCATGATTTCAACTATAAAATTACTAAAATCTCCACAAAACCCTCCTTCGTCTAATTTATTTAATTGACCATTAGTTTTCCACATATAAATATCTTAAGAAGCCTATATATGTGAACAAAATTATTTGAAATGTATTACGCTAATATATCACATAGTTTTAATAATCTAGTCTTTCTAATTGTATTATCCAAATTTATAAGGAGGCTTGTTATTTCATCTGTTACATAATGAGGGGGTTGTTTTTGGAGATTTTTAGTAATTTTTTATAAATCGTTGAAATCATGAATCAATTGAAGCTAGACCACCATGGGAAACCTGGTAGTACTGAACGGCCGTTTCGTCCTATTGTGGAACTCTTCAGCATTGCGCATCCACGATCCCGCCTCGCAGGTTTTCCATGATGATCTAGCTTCAATTTTCTCATGAATTCAACTATATATAAAAAATGTTGTACAATTAAATCATTTATCAAATGTCACAAACACAATGAAGGATCTTTCACTGTTGCTGATTGTAACAGCTTACCTATGTATTATCTGACAGATCAACATTGTATCAATAAAACATCATCACTTTGAATTGATTTTATTCATCTGTTAAAGTGAAACTGTGAATCATCTTCTCATTTAACATGTCCCCCTATCTATTTTTCGCTTCACAGAGCTATATTACTAAATATTCCATTGACAAGTGGATTTTTAGCAGTACAATTATTTACTGGTTTAGCTATATATGCTTATTTTGCTGGTTGTGATCCAGTATTAAATGGTTCTATTAAACGTTATGATCAAATATTACCTTATATAGTCATGATATTATTCGATGGTGTAGTACTTGTTCGTGGAATATTTCTATCCGTAATATTTGCAGCTGCTTTAAGGTAAGTAAATAACAATGATGATAGAAATACTCAATTATTATTATGATTATCAGAATTAAAAATGAACTCAATCCTTAAGATTACTTCATTGAAACAGTTCATTGGGACGTGTAGGACTGCAATTGATCAGCCTCTTATTGGCCATATGTGTATATTGTGCGTATTGCCTCGATATAGTCTTAATTCACAACTATTATAAACAAAGATGGATAGTGACTAGTAGTGGAATCCAAGACGCCGTCAACTAGGTGCTTTCCTCAAGGTGTGTTCTATCCACTTCCAGCGCTTCTTCATGATTTCTTTCTCAACTGGATGGAATCTGGTTTGTTGTCTCCCACAGTAGGTTGTTGCTGATAGTTTCTGGCCAACGGATCCGAAGCTTCTTGCGTAGACAACTGTTAATAAACGCCTGTATCTTCTGGATAATGGCTTTTGTAGTTCTCCAGGTTTCCGCACTATATAATAGAACTGTCTTGATATAAATATTGAAAATTCTGATCTTGGTGTTGACTGACAATTGTTTTGAGTTCCAGATGTTCTTCAGTTGTAAATATGCTGTTCTTACTTTGCCGATCCGCGTCTTCACATCTGCATCAGATCTGTCTGTAGCCTTTGCGAGGGCTACTTCTAGTCCCAAGCTCGGATAAAGTGGGGGGTTGGACATGGGGTTAGCGACCTCATCCCGTAGAAAACTAACTGGCTAAAAGGCGAATTTACAAAAAATATTACCTTTAAGCTGATATTTTTAACCTGACTGGCCTTAAACTATATTGATTTTTTTGTTAATACATTAAATTCACGTAACAGCAACCTTTTACGTGATTTATGCGTTGATGTTATTATTGTTACTATTATTAATAGTGTCTTTATTCAATATTTTAACGATGTTTAGCCATGAACGATGCGATAGTATGACAACCATTGACTACATCTCTCATTAATGTGTTGATCAATCATTTAAGCCTATAGATTTAAGCTGATTAGTAAATTAATTAGAAACTATTTCATTTTTGACTGATAAGCATATATATGTATATAACACTAGATAGTAACCACTTTCATGTTTGTCTGGTCATCAATACTGAAAGACATTTGTCTATTGAGTTCCATTTGGACAACACTTGACTCTACATACGATACACTATGTTTTGATGTAAGATGATTGTAAGAAGGCAGAAGTTGTATTGAGCAGAACCGTTGAACCTTTATAACCTACCATTCCAGAAAAGTAGGCTGAAGAGTGGATGAGCGAAATGCAACGAAATCATATTGCCTATTTTATTAAATTCTGATAGCGCTATGTTGTTCTCCTTACAACCAATATCTCCATCAATGGTTGATTCATGAAACTAAAAGAAATAGTTAAGAATAATGAATTTCAAAATTATCACATCTCATTTCGCCCCAACAACAACCGTTTTTGGCAGTGATGCCTTAATATTACAGACTTATTCTGTTTATTACGGAATCATGGTTTTACATGAACATTCTAAATGACATACTTTGATTTGTACTGACTTCATTAGGACATTAAACCTATAACAAATGTAGTTTGTGACTTGATATTATCATCTATGCATCTGAGTTTCGTGCATTAATCTCTTATGTTAATCAACTGACAACCTTAATTCAATTGTTAATAACGTAATACATTAATTTTCTGGGATTCGGTTTTTATTTATTTAGAAAAAAGTAAGTTGTTAGAGATGTTACTTTTCTTGTAAATAATGATCGAATTGTAAAAGCCTCAAATGCTAGAAAAGTGTTAAAGTAGAATTTCTCTAAAGGTTATCAACAATTTCTTTTATCAATATTGTACTTTGATTCGTTCTTATTCATAACTGTGCCCCTAAATGCCCTGGTACGGCTGAGAGCTAGGAGAGTCCTCTCTCCCTCTCGAAATGCTCTCGCATGGTCCTACTCACTGCCTTCTCGTGGCATTACTGTTGTTTACGAAATTGAGAGGACGAAAAGCGAATGTCCAGCGCTTTAACCGGGTTGGTGGACACAAAAAGTCCACCTAGGGGAGTTGGAAAACCCTGATTCTAAACCAATGGTGCACATGAGCTGGCTCCAGTATCTTGAGGGAACAAATGGCGTATGAATCAATTGTTGGTCGCCGCCTACCATGGGACTGCATCTCCTTACGATGTTTCACTGCCTTGTAGATCAAATCTTTAGGTCAAAGGCTCCGGGTGTTGCACCCTAAGAAAATCAACTGCTTCAGTTTGGGCACCTGGGCAATCTTGAAATCCTTCACTTAAATTATCTAATTCAAATAGATTAGATATTTATAATACTACTCAAATGAATACGTAAATTATTTCTTTTTTTCTTTTTTTACTTTTTAAACATTCATATCATAGTACTGTATCATCAGGTATAAATAGTTTGGCTAATGTTTGCTTAGAAGATTTAATTCGACCATTATATAGACATTGTAAACATGTGGATATATCAGAAAGAGTTAAATATCGATTAGCCTTATTTTTAGGTATGTTTTGTATTTTGATCGAGAAACTTTTTTCTGGTTGTTGTTAGACTGTCATTTCTTAAATCTAGTTAGTTACAAAGAAATTCTTTTAGTTACTATGACTTTATATATTTGAATGGTATACCGAAATATGATCATTTTTCTGTTTATATTTTGATCGATTAGTTATAACTTCTTTTCATATTGTATTCAGTTATTCAAGTAATACTTTTTGGTGATGTGATGTTGTTGTGAAATTCAACTATGTTATTGATACTGTCAATAAAAGTGGTAATTAATGATGTCAGAAACTCCATAGAATATCATGTTTTCTTCTACGTCTTAACATATCTCTGTCGTATGTGACTGTCTCAGTAAACAACCCTAATAGATATAAGAACTTTCGTCTAAATAAGAGCGAATAGTTTTACAGTATTTGGGCACCAAGTTGATTACTTACTTTACTTACGCCTGTTAATCCCAATGGAGCATAGGCCGCCAACCAGGGCAAAGTTTAAGTGGTTTGAATAATTTTTTCTGGTTATCGTTTTTTTAGCGAGTTAGTTTTCTACAGGATGAGGTCGCTAACCCCATGCCCAACCTTCATCTTTTGCCCGGGCTTGGGATTGGTAGTAGCCCCCAGAGGAGCTACAGGCGGAGTTGCGCCAAGTTGATGTAAGACATTAAATTACTTACTTACTTACTTACTTTCGCCTGTTACTCCCAATGGAGCATAGGCCGCCGACTAGCTTTCTCCAACCCACTCTGTCCTGGGCCTTCTTTTCTAGTTCTTTCCAGTTCTTGTTCATTCTTCTCATGTCTGTCTCTATTTCTCGGCGTAATGTGTTCTTTGGTCTTCCTCTTCTCCTTCGACCTTCAGGATTCCATGTGAGGGCTTGTCTTGTGACACAATTGGGTGATTTCCTCAAAGTGTGCCCAATCCACTTCCAGCGCTCCTTCCTGATTTCTTCCTCCGCTGAAATCTGGTTTGTTGTCTCCCACAGTAACTTGTTACTGATAGTGTCTGGCCATCGGATCCGAAGTATCTTGCGTAGACAGCTGTTGATGAACACTTGTATCTTCTGGATAATGGCTTTCGTAGTTCTCCACGTCTCCGCCCCATACAGTAGAACTGTCTTGACATTTGTATTGAAAATTCTAACCTTGGTGTTGGTTGACAATTGTTTTGAACTCCAGATGCTTTTCAGTTGTAGGTATCCTGCTCTTGCTTTGCCGATCCGCGCTCTCACATCTGCATCTAATCCACCGTGTTCATCAATGATGCTGCCCAGATATGTAAAGATTTCCACATCCTCCAAAGCTTCTCCGTCAAGTGTAATTGGATTGGTGCATATTGTATTGTATCGGAGAGTCTTGCTTTTCCCTTTGTTTATATTGAGACCTACTGCTGCTGAGGCTGCTGCTACACTGGTCGTTTTCTCCTGCATTTGTTGTTGCGTTTGTGATAGAAGAGCCAGATCATCCGCGAAGTCTAAATCGTCAAGCTGCATCCTGCCTGTCCACTGTATCCCGTGCATTCCTCCAGATGTTGACGTCTTCATAATCCAGTCGATGACCAGGAGAAAGAGAAAGGGTGAGAGTAGGCAACCTTGTCTAACACCGGTCTTTACCTCGAACGAGTCGGTGAGTTGTCCTCCGTGGACGATTTGGCACTTTAGTCCATCATAGGAGTTCCGTATGACATTGACTATCTTCTCAGGCACGCCGTAGTGTCGAAGAAGCTTCCATAGTGTCGTCCTGTCCACGCTATCAAATGCCTTCTCGTAGTCGATGAAGTTGATGTAGAGTGATGAATTCCATTCGATTGATTGTTCCACAATGATACGTAGAGTTGCGATTTGATCTGTGCACGATCTGTCCTTACGAAATTCAGCTTGTTGATCTCGAAGTTGAGCGTCCACGGAATCCTTCATCCTGTTTAACAATACTCTGTTGAAGACTTTTCCTGGTATTGAGAGGAGAGTGATGCCCCTGTAGTTGTCGCACTTGCTCAGATCGCCTTTCTTTGGTATTTTGATCAGAAGTCCTTCTTTCCAGTCTGTTGGTACATTTTCTTTGTCCCAAATCTTACCGAAGAGGATGTGGAGTATCTTGGCAGTTGCTGTTACATTTGCTTTCAGTGCCTCTGCCGGGATGTTGTCTGGTCCCGCTGCTTTGCCACTTTTGATTTGTCTAATGGCCATGCTGATCTCTTCAATTGTTGGTGGGCCAATATCGATTGGGAGGTCCGTGGGTGCTGCTTCGATGTTGGGTGGGTTCAGTGGAGCTGGTCGATTCAAGAGTTCCTTGAAGTGTTCTACCCACCTGTTTCGTTGTTCTTCAATGTCGGTGATTACTTTGCCTTCCTTGTTTTTCACTGGTCTTTCTGGTTGACGGTAATTTCCAGCAAGTTTCTTTGTTGTATCATACAGTTGTCTGATGTTTCCCTCTCTTGCAGCCTTTTCCGCTGTCATCGCTAAATCTTCCACATATTTACGTTTGTCGGTCCTGATGCTCCTCTTCACTTGCTTGTTTGCCTCTGTGTATTCGGCTTGTGCCTTGGCTTTTTCTGCTCTTGTTCGGCTGATATTGATTGCTACCTTTTTGTTCCTCCTTGCTTCGATTTTATCCAGTGTACCAACAGTGATCCATTCCTTGTGATGGTGCTTCTTTTGGCCCAGAACCTCCTGACATGTTGAAACGATTGCCTCCTTGATACCTTTCCAGCTGCTCTCTATGGTGGTTCCCTCTCCATTGAGTAGGTCATGAAAGGCCTGGAACCTGTTGCTGAGGGCTATGTTAAATTCGTTGAGTTTGTCAGCATCTCGAAGAAAGGCCGTGTTAAACTTTTGTGATGTTGTCCGCGCCATTGTCCAGTGCTTCTTGAGTTTTAGTTTCATCTTGGCGACCAGCAAATGATGATCGGATGCTATATCAGCTCCTCTTCTGGTTCTCACATCCTCCATCGTCCTCCTGAACTTTTTGTTGATGCAGACATGGTCGATTTGATTTTGTGCAGTGTGATCCGGTGAAATCCAAGTGGCTTTGTGTATGTTTTTGTGTGGGAATATGGTGCCACCTATGACCAGTTTATTGAAGGCACATAGGTTTGCAAATCTCTCACCGTTTTCGTTCCTTCCTCCCAGTCCATATTGTCCCATGACGTCTTCTTATCCAGTGTTGTCCATTCCAACCTTGGCATTGAAATCTCCCATTAGAATGGTCAGGTCCTTGGTTGGGCACTTCTCGAAGATTGACTGCAGCCTATCGTAGAATTGGTTTTTAGCGTCTTCATCGTAGTCGTTGGTCGGCGCATAGCATTGGATGATGTTCATTGTAATGCCCTCTCTCTTTGTTGTGAAGGAGGCTTTGATGATCCTCGGTCCATGAGATTCCCATCCTATAAGTGCATTTTGTGCTTTTCTAGACAGCATCAGTGCCACTCCTTGTGAGTGTGGGGCATTTTCTTCTTCATGACCGGAGTATAACAGAAGTTCTCCTGAGGACAGACGTTGTTGTCCAACCTGCGTCCAATGTGTTTCACTGATTCCTAGCACTTCCAGGTTGTATTTCCACATTTCCGCAGAAATTTGGAAGACTCTTCCGGTCTCCCACATTGTCCGGACCTTCCATGTACCTATAAAAATTGTCGCTCTGGTTGTAAGAAGGTGCATCGGCCTCATGACTTCCGAATGAACTCGGCTTTCATCATGAGACGTCATTTTTCCTTCTACTCCCAGGGCAGAGTTTGAATGGTTTGAATGATTTTTTCTGGTTAGCGTTTTTTTAGCGAGTTGATTTTCTACGGGATGGGGTCGCTAACCCCATGCCCAACCCTCCTCCTTTACCCGGGCTTGGGACCGGCAGTAGCCCCTGGAGAAGCTACAGGCGGAGTTAAGACATTAAATAGGGATAATATATTTGTAAAATCTCAGCGAATGAATTTGAAGTAAATCCAACGTTTCGCCTAGCAATCTGGAATTAATTCCTTGAAAAGCTTGGACCAGATTGCCAGGCGAAATGTTGGATTTACTTCAAATTCATTCACTGAAATTTTACAAATATAATATTCCTATTTAACCGTAATATAGATACTTGAAAAGTCACTAATTTGTATGATTTTACAAAAGAGATTGACTATTAAAGGAAAATGAATGAAAATCAGGTTTGATGTTTAAATGAAAGGCAGTGAACTGTTGTCATTATACTAGAATGTATAGGTTAATGTTGATTTTTAATCATTGTTAGTTATTGTTATGACTTGTGGCCGAATGGATGTCCAGTTAATGAATGACGTGATAAGACCGTCAATCAGAGAGCAGCAAATTATCGATTGAAACACTGACATACGAAACCGTACAAGCAGTCTAGAGTACTATCGGTTAGTTTTGTGAATACGAATTTCGATGTCTTCAACAATATGTAAAAGAAGAACTCGTAAATCGTAAGGCAAATTTGACGGAATATGGTGGATAATCTTAAAAGCTTTATTCTGTTTAGCGTGATGACCTGTGTCTACCAAGTGAGTTAGAATAGAACTATTAATTACTCTTACCTGTCCTTTGCTAAACCAAGACGGATGGTAGCCTGCTATGGAATGAAGGACTCCCCTAATTGTATGCCCTATATAATTGACTCCACAGGAGCAGTTGAGTTGGTGAATGCACATAGATGTGGCGAATTCAGGCTGTCCGTCTTTATTAACCGTTTTTATTGTGGGGTGGTTGTAAAAGATGGCACTCAGCCTGGCTGCATTAAATGTTTTCTGTACTGCCTTCCTTAACCGTTGAGTCACAATTTCTTTCGTAGCATCATTTAGGAATTATAATTTTTTAAGAATAATACTTTCTTCGGAACGGTAAATATATTTGGTCGTCTTTTAATTTCATTCGTGTGTCTATTGATGGATTTCCTTGGGTATCCATTCTTACTAAGCAGGTTACGTATATTAGTCAATTTATCTACAATTATGTCATTCGAGCAAATCATTCTGACACGATGAGTCGGGATTTTTACTAAGTTTCTTTTGTATCTGATTGGTACAGCACTATAGAAATGAGTATATTGTCCAACTGTAGACTTTCTACGTATCTCTATTGTAAATGTTAGTTAAACATCAAGAAACGATATACTATTACTCTGTTCTTCCTCAAGTGCCAGAGTAATAGATAAATGAGTGTTATTAAATATATTAATTAAATTACTCTTTTTATGTCATTTTTCTAATACTATGAAAGTATCATCTATAAAGAGACAACAAGATGTATGATAGCTGAATGTATCTTTAATTGGTCCACTTTCTAGTTTTGCAAGAAAACTGTCTTCCAGCAGAGTGCCCAATGGTGACCCCATGGCTACTCCATTCAACTGTTTATAGCAATCATTGTCGAATCGGATGGAAAAACTCATCGTGCATTTAAAAATCAACTGTTTTATTGTGGATACAGAAATTAAAGTTTGCAGCGAACTAATAGAGAGGCGTTTAGAAACCTTAATTCTCGTATCTGCAATAGAACAGTTGATATTTAGATGCACGACAAGTTCCCACTTCCGTTTCGACAATGATTCAAACCAAGAATCTTAGGCTTCTCATGAGAACGCTTAATCTCTAGATCACTGAGCCGGCGTCTAACGGTTTTAATGTCTAACTTCAACCAATCCACGATATTGCTTGACCGTCTTCCATTGTATCCTGTGGGTAACTACATCACACCCGATGCGGTCAAACTACACTTGTCACAGCTTCTCACTCGAACTCCGAGAATTGTTTCTCAAAACTAATCATTGGTGAGCACATGATAAGTATCAGTATACAGTTGTGGATATTTTTGGGTTTAGATTGCGATCATTAGTTGATCTATGTAAGGCCATCATTGAAAATGTGGAAGCACTGGACGACCGACTTGTCCTCGTATGAGACTCCTTAGCAGCGCTCATCCACGGTCCCGCACGCGGGATTCAACCCAGAACCTTCGGTCTCGCACTCGAACGCTTAACCTCTAGACTACTGGGCTCGATTCGGTCATTTTACTAAATGTCAAAATGCGAATTTCCACTATAACAAAAATTATTAGTTATGTTAGGGTGATCCAGAAAATTTCTCTCAATAGACAAGAAAGACTCAGGAAACATTACGAAGCATTTTTATCCAATCAGCGTTTGATTAGAAGTTTTGCTAGAAACATCACGAAAGTAAAAAGTCACCTGCAGAGTTTCCGATTGACTGATTACTACACTGCTGCTATGTTTAAGTAGTATTCCAGAATTTTCAGGAAAACACTATAAAAACCCTTTATTTTTCGTATATGTACATGTACATGAAGTGAAGTGCTTCTCGCATATTTTACACCTTTTTTCTCGTGTTCAAGTCGCTGTGTAGATCTAGCTTGGTTAGGGGTTATGAGGCTAGTTTAGGATCCGAATATAGCGTTTAATTAGCAAGACTTATCAAGTTTAAATGAAAACAAATGGAAAGTGTTCTTTCTCTAGCAGTTATGTCAAAGCATTTCTTTCGTTTTTTTCAAATGTATTTTAACAATTTTTAAAGTTTGTCAATCACTTTGAATTTGAATATGTGCGAAACAAATCTTCTTTGATATGTTCTTATTAAAGTATACTGGTGATCTTATGCTATGATTCTACTATCATAGAAATTAAACATTTTTGACAATGTTGTGGTTTATGAACTATAGTGATTGAATTACTAATCTTTTTTTAATAGATAGTACTGCCGACGAGTCCCACAATAGGACGAAACGACCATCCAATGCTTCCAGGTTTTCCATAGTAGTCTAGCTTCAATTGACTGATGATTTCAACTATATAAGATCACATAAGTGTTTGGTTGAATTAATAGTAACCTTTATTTAAGAAAAAATATGACATCAATAATTCTAGTTCATTTTGATGGTTGTATTTATCATAGGTCATTGTCACATGTCATTTATATATATTTTGTTTTGCTTTCAAATTCTTATTCATTGTATCCATGGTTATTTAACCTTTTGAACTTTTTCGTATGTATCAGTAAGCTGAATTGATTTCATTGTGACCATTTGATTAGACAATAGTTGAAATATCATGTTTCTAGTGATTCTTTAACATTTTAAAAAGTTTTAATAAATTAGAGGAAATCATAAATAAATAGCATTGACTTGAATTATCTCTTCAACAATTGACTTATAATCTCAACTATAAAAATTTACAATAATATTTACAAAAACCTTTCTGGTAATAATCAACATGTGCTCAATAATAACTGTCTTCAAGAGGTATTTCCTAGAATTCTAGTGAGAAGCAGTGACCAGTGGGTTTGAACCAGGTCTGAAGACAATGATGTATGTGTCACTCAATTTCATAGATTAGGCATTAATACAGTTGTATGCTGGCTGGCTCAGTGGTCTAGAGGTTAAGTGTTCAAACATGGGTTCGAATTTCGTGAGGTGAAACCGTGGATGAGCACTATTGAGAAGTCCCATAATAGGAAGAAACGGCCTTAAAACAGTGCTTGCAGATTTTCCATAATGGTCTAGCTTCAATTAATTCATGATCTCTACTATTGAAAAATTACTATAATATCCACAAAACCCTTTCTCATATTTAACAATTGTTAAAATATTTAGAAATGGAATGAATTTATTCAACTACATATATACAAGATTTATAATAATTAGATTCTTTAAATTTACTTAGTATTGTTTGTTTGAATCTTCCCATTGATGTTTAGGACTGAAAATGGTCAGTCTCTAATTGGCATATGTGCATACTGTGCGTATTGCCTCGATATAGCCTTGATTCACAAGCATGATAAGCAGAGATGGATAGTGGCTAGCAGTGGAATCCAGGACAAATGCGTTTCGTCCTATTTGTGACTCGTCAGATGGATGTACCTACATCTTAGAGTTGATGTTCACTCTGGGACTTGAACACATCGATGGTAAGATTCAAACAAACAATACTAAATGAATTTAAACTTCACCCCATCGCACAAGCCAGTGGCTATCAGGACTCAGTAGCTGAGTGGATAACGCGACGACGTTTGAAGCGAAAGATACTGGGTTCGAGTTGCATAGTGAACATCAACTCTGAGATGCAGGTACATTTAGGTGACGAGTACCAAATAGGACGAAACGCGCGTCAAACTGGATTCCATTGCTAGCCACTATCCATCCCTGCTTACAATTAGATTCTTTGTTAATGCAATGGATAATCCAATGAGAAGGTGAAGATGATTAACTATACACAAGATAATGAAATATTTTATCTCAATACTACGAGACAAATGCCTAAACTGAATTAACGTCTCCGCTAAATAACCATCACAAGTTCATAAAAATTGTTTACAATTAATAACAAACCATCATTATCATTTCTATTTATTATTCTGTATGCCTGTCAACCACATTCTCTTTCTCACATTCCCCCCCCTCTCTTTCTCCTTTTCTCTCTGTGTGTGTGTATTTTTGATGTGCAGGTATTTTATTTGGTACTTTAACTGTTTCATTGGCTTTCATTTTCACATTATCCAGTTCACATATATTACAAATATCATTTTCATTATTTGGTGCAATTGGTGGTCCAATTTTAACTGTATTTACTGCTGGAATATTTTTTCCTTGTATTAATGCTGAAGTAAGTAAGTAAGTAGATCCAATAATATGAATGAAATTTTTTTTAGTTTTCATCATATTTATAGTTGGATAGTATAAAGAAATGAGAAATGGGGATATATCAGCACAGATCCTAGTTGCCATTACTTATTTACTTACGCCTGTTACTCCCAATGGAACATAGGCCGCCGAGCAACATTCTCCAACTCACTCTGTCCTGGGCCTTCTTTTCTAGTTCTATCCAGTTTTTGTTCATTCTTATGTCTATCCCTATTTCTCGGCGTAGTGTGTTTTTTTGGTCTTCCTCTTCTCTTTTGGCCTTCAGGATTCCATGTGACGGCTTGTCTTGTGACGCAATTGAGTAATTTCCTCAATGTGTCATGAAATTATTGAAATAAAAGTTACAGCGATGGAAGTTGTGCAACAGCATCATTTTCCATTGGAAAAAATAAGATATAAATGACAGCTAGTATTGAAGTAAGTTAAGAGGAAGCTAGGGGCAGTTAAACCAAAACATTATATCAGCTCATCAAGTTACTAAGTGTTGAATTGAGTCATTTAGTTAGATGTACATTACTTGGTTGGTGTAACTAATGTCCAGAGGCTTTGAATGACATGGTTGAAAATCGTTTACGATTATTCAAATGCATTCACTTTTTGTCTTCCCCTTAGACCCTGGTCATTATCTCGAATCCCTTACCAGTTCTTGTAGATATTCTGATTCAATTCCATGGGATAGTGAACATCTAAGGTTGATGACGTTAAGTCACATGGTCTGAAATCAGTTGTAATAGAGCTGCAACATTCATTCATTCATTCTCATCTGCTAAATCTTGATTTCATTGTCGTGCATAAATTTTTCCATTCCTAAACAATACTTTATACGCGTATTTCAATGAGTGAAAAAAAACTTAGAATGGTCTTGTTATGATTTGACCTAGGCTATAGCCAATTGTTATGACTTGATCAAGGTCGTCGCTGATTCGTTATGACCTTACGAATTTAACAAGGACGTAATTCTCGTAAATGATCCACCAATAGAATACGCCTTCTACGACCTTCACACTGTGACAATGACGTTCGATTAATATGAGTAATCTAGCGTCCTTATTGGTCCTTATCCGCCTACCCGTCCACTTGAGTCCAGAACACCAATAGCAGCTGCTGTAATGCGAATCGTTTATTTCAAGCATACTTTATCTATATACCAGACAGGCAGACCACACCACACCATAAAATAGAAAATAATATTTGTACAAAACCAGGCCAATGAGGCTGTAAGCGTGGGAGACAATAATCAATAAAACTGAGTATAACTTAGGAACAGAAAATCATATAGTAATAATCAATAGGTCAAAATGAAGCTAGTAATAAGATGAATATAGATATAGATAATCCAGTTACTGAATAGTTATACCATAGGAATATAAATAGATTAATAGTCTAATAAGAGGTCCCGTAAGTTATCAGTACTTACTTTTTCCTAGTATATAACACCTCCCCTTTTTTGAAGCATCATGGATAATAGCGATCCTTGGGATTTATTTTTATACGATTAGGTTTCCGCCTGATGCGCTGCGACCGCCTTGGGAGTGTTGTACATATCTTCTTTTTATTCGGGTCCTTTTTAATTTCATTATCCGACTCGGTTAATATATTTAATGGTATATCATGCTTTCTATCACTTTCTATCTCCCACTCCTGTCTGGTCGGCTGTATCTGGTTTGCATGTCGTACCCATATCTTTTGTCCAACTTTCACTTCATAAATAACTTTCCCTTTTCTTCGGACTATGATGCCAAATTTCCAGGTTGGCTTTACTCCCTGGAAATCTCTTGCCATTACTGCTTGTCCTACATTAAACCTTCTGGGTAAGGCACCATGCCTTTTGTTAAATTGCAGTTCCATTCGTTTATTCTTGCATTGAATGACTTCAGGTTTTGGCTTCATTTGTTCCATAGGTATTCTAATCTTTCTTCCAAAAATTACTTCTGCCGGGCTTTCTTGATTATATGTTGCTGGGTTGGGAGTTGCGCGGTAGCTTAGTAAAAATCGTTGAATTATATCTTCTATTTCTCCTTCCCCTTCGGCTTTAAGCAATGCTCTTTTAAAAGTGTCCACGAACCTTTCGACTAAGCCGTTAGACTGTGGATGGTATGGGGGTGTCTTGATATGCCTAATGGCATTGGCAATGCAGAACCTCGAAAATTCAGCAGAGGTAAACTGTGGTCCATTGTCTGACACCAATATATCTGGACACCCAAAACAACTGAATACTTGCCTCAGTTTCTTCACTGTAGCTTGTGTTGAGACATATTTCATATAGTGGACTTCTGGCCACTTAGAGAAAGCATCAATGATTATCAAGAACTGTTTACCGTTTATAGGACCAGCAAAATCTACATGAACTCTTGACCACGGATTTGATGGTGTTCCCCAACTCTGCATTTCGGTCTTGCGAGGGGCTTTCATGGCTTTTGCACATGCTGAACATTTTGCAACATATTCTTCAATCTGCGCATCAATATTCGGCCAATATACATAACCGCGTGCAAGTGCTTTCATCCGCGCTACCCCTGGGTGTGCAGCGTGCAGTTCTAACATCACCTTCCGGCGTAGGCTTGTGGGTACAATAACTCGATTTCCAAACATTAGGCACCCGTCCACGAGCGATAAAGAATTTCGTCGGTGAGCATATTGTTCAATATTTTTGTTGTCTATATGAGAAGGCCAACCATGTTCAAGGTAACTTATAATCCGTTTCAGCTCGCCATCTTCTTGAGTGTAGCGTCTAATATCTTCAGCGGACAATGGTGTTGCTTTTATAGCAACTTGTAGTATTTGGTGGATATCTTCTTCCAATGATATCGTTGCAATAATAGAATCTTCGCTTTCCTGCTTCTGATTCGCAATTAATCGAGATAAAACATCAGCTTGTCCAAACTTTTCAGTTGATTTATATAGAATTCGGAAATCATAAGCAAGTAGTGTAATAGCCCAGCGTTGTAATCGATTAGCTGTATATGCAGGAATACCTGACTTCGATCCAAATATAGATAAAAGCGGCTTGTGATCTGTTAGAAGAGTAAATCGACGTCCATAAATCATTTTATGAAATTTCTTTACTGCAAAAACTATAGCTAATCCTTCTTTTTCAATTTGACTATACTTTCGTTCAGCTGGGTTAAGTGTTCGGGATACATGAGCAATCGGCTTTTCTTTACCATCAGGAAAACGATGGCTGATAACAGCCCCAATTCCATAGTTGGAAGCATCAGCGGCAACAATTATTTCAAGCTTAGGATTGTAATGAGTCAACAATAATTTAGAAGATAAAATCCTTTTTATTTCGTCGAAAGAATATTGGCATTCTTTTGTCCAGTACCATTTTGCATTAGCCATCAAAAGTTGATTTAACGGGTGTCTCAATTTATACATCTGGGGTACGAACATACTATAATATCCAATCATCCCCAAGAATGAACGGAGAGTTGTAACATCAGTTGGTGTGGGCATATTTTTGATGGCATTTATATTATCTGGATCTGGCCGGCGACCATCTTTATCAAATATATATCCAAGATATTTAACAGAATCTAGCATAAATTGACACTTTTCTTTTTGTAATTGAAACCCGGCTTGCGATATTCTATTGAGCACTACGTCTAACCGACTCATCAGTTCGTGAGCAGAAGAGGCAACAACTATAATATCGTCCAAATAAACTGCCACACCTTCAAGGTTAGACAACATGGTATCCATAATCTGTTGGAAAATTGCTGGAGCTGGTTTTACGCCAAAAGGTAATCGGCTAAACTGGTAAAGTCCACGGTGGGTATTAATGGTTAATAACTCCCTCGAATCTTCGTCAACTTCTACTTGTAAGTAAGCTTCAGATAGATCGAGTTTGGAAAAGTAACGTCCACCGTTTAGTTTAATAAATAAATCTTCCGGCAAGGGAAGTGGATATGAGTGATTTTGTAAAGCATCGTTTAATCCTGTTGAAAAGTCTGCACACAAGCGAATAGTTCCGTTTGCTTTCTGCACTACTACTATTGGTGCTGCCCATGCTGAATAATTAACCGGTTGTATTACACCCAGTTTCTCTAATCGATCTAACTCCTTGTCAACTTTATCGGTGGCTGCATACGGGACTTGGCGTTTTGGACAAAAAACAGGTTTTACATCATGTCGTAAATATAACTTTGCCTTTCCAATGGTACAGCATCCCAATTTATTCTGGAACAACTTCTTGTGTTTCTGTAAGAGGTCTTCTATCGTTATGGCTTTCTTAGCTACATGAACCATGGGTAGATCTCTGGGACTATTTGTGCACTTCATCATGCATATTTCACTCAATGGTACATCCCATAGGTTTAGTTTATCTATCCAATCTATTCCAATAAGGTCTAAGTCATGTCTGTTCGTTAAATAACAATTCCCTGTGAAGTAGTTATCACGAAATTCAACAGAGCATTTTATAATTCCAACAAGCTTTAATATATCTCCGGATGCATTTCGTGCAGTATGCTCAGTAGGTAATACTTGTGGACAACCAATTAAATTCCATGTTCGTTTAGAGATCAATGTGATATCTGACGCTGTATCAAATTGTAATCGGACATGAACACCATTAACCAATAATTCCACATACCTTCTTTTATCTGCCATACTTAAAGCTCGTGTAGAATATATACTGTTAATATATTTGTTTTGAAACTGGTGAGGACACTTCGTAGGCTTTGATCTCAAATTTTCTCTAGTCCGGCAAACTGATTCTTTATGACCAAGTTTATTGCACACCGTGCATCTATGATTTCTAAATCTACAAAATCTTGAAAAATGCCACGCGCCGCAATACCAACATTTCGTTGAAGGTTTAGGAATTTTTGTGTGATATTTATAACTTTTGACACTCTGTTGTCGTTGACTCGTCTTAATAGCATGGACCGAATGATTAGATGGTGCAGCACTTTTGGTTTCTAACATAGCCGAATCCTGTTTCAAGTTTATTAATCGTTGACACTCACCAGTAATGGTTTGTAGCGTCATTTCTTCGTCATGTTCCATACGAGATAATAACTTCATGCGAACATCAGCATCACTGGGAGAATTCAGACCAGAAATAAATAATAAGCATTTAAATTGATCACTGGTTAACACATTTAATTTAAATCGTTCCGCTTGTAAATTTACTCTTCCGGCATACGTAGTATAATCCTCATCAGCTTCTCTAGTCAGTTGTAGACAATTATACCGGATACGAAATAGAGACATCTGTTCAGAAAACATTTTATTTAAAATGTTAACAGTTTCATCGAAACTAATCTCTCGTGGATGTTTGGGCAGGATATGGTTTTTATACTTCTGATGCTCGTAAGGACCAAGTTTCTGTAAGAGCAACCGGACTTTCTTTGTGTCCTCCATAGCAGCAAATTCTACTCGAAAAATATCTTCAATTCTGCCAAACCATGCTTCAAAAGTGTGACCGCTGTCTGCATCGAAAATAAATTCTGGAATTGGATTAAGATATGACTCTATGCTTTTATGTTCTGGAATATCTTGCTGAATAGACATTTTCCCCAAAAGTGCTTCCAGGAGTTGTTGTTGACAAGCTAACATCTGTTGCTGCTGCTGCTGCAATATTAACTGTAGCTGTTCTGGAGAAATTGACATTTTTTTATTTTTTTAAAATGAGAATAATAATAATAAATCCAAAAAAACACCGGCAAATATTATGGATTATTTAATTCCAAAATGACGTCACCGACTGCTGTATTTTTTTAGAATCACGTCCCAATTATTGTATTTTTTTTTTACCGAAATCCCCGTCGCCAATTTGTTATGATTTGACCTAGGCTATAGCCAATTGTTATGACTTGATCAAGGTCGTCGCTGATTCGTTATGACCTTACGAATTTAACAAGGACGTAATTCTCGTAAATGATCCACCAATAGAATACGCCTTCTACGACCTTCACACTGTGACAATGACGTTCGATTAATATGAGTAATCTAGCGTCCTTATTGGTCCTTATCCGCCTACCCGTCCACTTGAGTCCAGAACACCAATAGCAGCTGCTGTAATGCGAATCGTTTATTTCAAGCATACTTTATCTATATACCAGACAGGCAGACCACACCACACCATAAAATAGAAAATAATATTTGTACAAAACCAGGCCAATGAGGCTGTAAGCGTGGGAGACAATAATCAATAAAACTGAGTATAACTTAGGAACAGAAAATCATATAGTAATAATCAATAGGTCAAAATGAAGCTAGTAATAAGATGAATATAGATATAGATAATCCAGTTACTGAATAGTTATACCATAGGAATATAAATAGATTAATAGTCTAATAAGAGGTCCCGTAAGTTATCAGTACTTACTTTTTCCTAGTATATAACAGGTCTTATTCGATAAATGAGCATTCATCGAAAATACATTATAATTTCACTTGATATTGCTTGGTTAAATCTTCCCATTGATGTTTAGGACTGAAAATGGTCAAATTCTAATTGGCATATGTGCATACTGTGCGTATTGCCTTAATTCACAAGCATTGTAAGCAAAGATGGATAGTGGCTAGCAGTGGAATCCAGGACAAATGCGTTTCGTCCCATTTGGGACTCGTCAGCTAGATGTACCTGCATTTCAGAGTTAATGTTCACTCTGAGACTCGAACCACGTACCATTCGCTTCAAACGCCATCATGTTATACACTTAGCTACTGAGTCCAGATAGCCACTTGCTTGTGCAATAGGATGAATAACGCAATGGCGTTTGAAGTGAACGGTACTAAGTTCAAGTCCCGAATTGGATGAAACTCGCGCCCTCGATTCCACTGATAGCTACTCTCCATCTTTGAAAATACATGATATTTAATTTCAGTCTCATCGTTACAACATTTATAGTAGTAATGTTTATACTTAAAGGAAATTAATAAAAACAAGTCACTTTGGCTAATTTTGTTAATGTTCAACATTGAACACAGATGCCTTAGAAATATTGCTCGCACCTGCTGGGATCACCGGGTAAGTAATAGTGAGGTTAGACACAGGGTATTAGGGAATGATGATAAATCAGTTGATGAGGTGATGAATCTTCATCGACTGAGATGGTTAGGCCACGTGTTATGTGTGCCTGAACACCGATTACCATGACGCGTTATGTTGACTAGTGTAGGGGATGGTTGGAAGAGAGTTAGGGGCGGGCAAACCAAAACGTGGCATCAGAGCATGAATTCACTAATTTCTAGTCTGAGCCATGTTGGTAGATGCAGACTACCTGATTGGGGTCCGCATGACTGTCGTAACCAATGGCTGGAGACTCTGGGTGCTTTGGCTCAGAATTGATCACAATGGTGTAGGTGTATACACAGCCTTTATCTTCCCTTGAACCTTGAGATTAAAATTGCTTCATATCTGTCTTTCTTCATGTATTATATCCTTATATACTATTGTTTACTTATTTTTTTGCATGTTCATTTATGTATTCAGGGTGGATTATGTACATTAATTAGCGCTGTTATTTGTGGTTTATGGATTTGTATTGGTAATACATTTATCACTTCAAGAAGGGATAATAGTCGTTTACCTTTAACAATTAAGAATTGTACCTCTACAATTCTTCAGAATATGTCATCATCATCTATTATAACTACTACAACTAGTCCATCAACAACAACATGGTCATTTTATTCACTATCATATCTATATTATGCAGCAGCTTGTATCATTGTTGGAATTCCTATAGGATTTATAATTAGCGCAATTACAGGTAAGATTTAATATGAGCGAAACAGTTTTATTAAGAAATATATTATTACAATTCAAAATAGTTTTATCTATGATCGGGATCATATTGTAGTAGAACCTTTTTTTTTCTTTTTCTGAAATTGTTATACTGGTTAAATATGTTAGTGATTTCTGCATGTTTCGTGGGTACACCTAGTTCGGTTGGAATATATGTTTCTGTTATATCCCAAAGTGAATTATGAATCGTAACTTATGAGAACTATTTATGGACCAACACTATATTGGGATAAGATGGTGGTTTTAGGTGGTCAACAAGAAACCCTAGACCTGAGCTTCGTGCTACTTGGCACTCGTCGGCAAGATGTACCTGTATCCCAATATATATATAGCGCACGCAGTGCCGAGCCACCTAGACTGGTGGCCACATTGCAACTTCATCGATAGCATTCGATCAGCATTAAGAAGGACTTGACACACATGACATTGATCACCACCCAGTGATCAATCGATTGTGACCAACACGATATGTCTATTTCCTATTGTGTAATTGTTAAGTAACTTAACTATCCGTATTCATGTTCCTTTTATTATAAGCTTTATTTTGATCCATAGATTATTACTGTACGATTTACCATTCCTGAGTTATACCCAGGCCTATTAATTACTGTTCCCTCTATTCACAGCCGCGTTTAGCTAAATCTTGTACAAATGTTATTTTCTATTTTATGGTAAAATGTGGTCAGTTTGATTGGTATACAAACCCAAAATGTTTGAGAATAACGATTCATATTTGAGAGGCTGTTATTGTTGTTCTGAACTTAACTGACTGGGCTAGGCAGAAGCAGGACCGACTAGTGCTCTAGACTGCTCGCACGAGTTTGTGTCATTAGTCCGATCGATAAAATCACTGCTCTCTAATTAGTGAGCCACTCGATGTAACAGTTTCCATAAACTTCTTTGCTTGACTCTTGAGTTTACTCTAACTAGACCAAGATGATCTGTTTATACAATTGCATGGGCATCTTTTTCAATTATTTTATCAAAATATTGTAATGTGGTTAACAGTTTGTTAGGGTGATCCAGAAAGCATTGTGTTTTTCATTGTAAGTGGTTGGCAATCAATAGGAATCGATCACTAAAGAAATTTGGAATTAGTTACTACTTAGTGATCTATCAGTGTATATATCTTGATCACATGTGAAGTCAGTCACTGTCCGAAGAACTCGCTGGTAATAATTCAGACTGTGACACCAGTTTAAACTCTACAGAAAGCAACATTCTCTTCAAAACTGCGGATACGCCTTGTCAACAAACGTTAGCTAGAATGAAACCTAGATCTAGGTTTGTATCCCAAATATTTCTGACCACTTGGCATCGTAAACATGCTTGAAATGTACTACACAAATACAATCACATATTTTTTCGGGATATCTTCATTCTCTCACTACAATGTTGAAATTTAAACAACTGACTAATCATATTAAATTTTGTTTTATACAAGCTAATTTTTCTATTTATCATACTAGGATTTAATAGTCGATCAAAGGTTAATCCACGTTTATTGGCTTGGCAGGCACGTTCATTCTACAGACATTTTCCAAATTGGCTTCCTTCACAAACAGCAAATGATCAGGTAACGTTTAATTTCACATTACTGATACAGTTGGTTAGTAATACAATAACTTTATAATCTATACAAAGCCTCATTCCATGTACAGATTCAAATTATTGACAAGTTTTATATATAATGATTATGTATTTATTTTATTTAGTTATTCAAATACATATATGTCTGTACAAAGGGGCACCAGATATATATGCACCACACAAACCTCATTCGATTTGTGTGAAGGCTGTGATACTGCCCCCAGGTTATCTTAGGGGGCTACACACGGAGCTCTTGACCTAAAGATCTAATCCACAAGGCAATGGAGCATCGTAAGGAGATGCAATCCCATGGTAGCCGGTTATTAACGATTGATTTATACGCCATTTGTCCCCTCAGGATACTGGAGCCCATATGAACCATTGTTTTGGAATCAGGGTTTTTCAACTCCTCTAGATGGACGCGCCGTGTCCACTAACCCGGTTAAACCACCAGACATTAGCTTTTCGTCCTCTCACTTTCATAAACAATACCCCTACCTCGAGAAGGCAGTGAGTAGGATTTCCCTGTCAGAGGCTATATAAGCGTGGCCAAATGAAAGCATTTAGAGAGGGAGAGCGGACTCTCCCCACTCACGGCTGTGCCAGGGCATTTGGGGGCAACTTTTTTATCATTATTATCATTCTATATTGCAAATATATCTTATCAAATTCTATACCACAATACAAATGTCCCAGATAAGTATTTCAACTCGTAAATGTAAAACCTGATGAGATTTATCGAACATATTTCTTTCTAATAAGAAGGGATTTTGTGGAGATTTCAGTATTTTCATAGTTGAAAGCATGAGTCAATTGAAACTAGACCTTCAAACCTCGCGAGGCGAGATCGTGGATGTGCACTGCTGAGGAGTCCCACAATAGGGCGAAACAGCCGTCCAGTGCTTCCAGATTTTTCTTGGTGGTCTAGCTTCAATGGACTCATGCTTTCAACCATGAAAATATTTCTTTCTATTTAAATTACAATTTTTATTATTAAATCTGTTATATTTATGTGTTGTTAATTTTCAGGAACTTGATCAAGTTTCCTCCACATACATTCAAAAAACAGAAATTCCAGATATGAAATTACCTCGTATACAAGCAGTAATCAACAGAAAATTGATCCCATCAGTAGAAAATGATAAATCAAAAGATTCTACTATCTATCAAAAGAATGAATTGATGTAACATTACAGAGAGTTATGATATCAACAATGTGTGTGTGTGTATTTTTCTAATTCTTATTATCCTTTATAAGTACTTCTTTAATCTTTATATTGTGTATTATTATGATTAAAGATGAGTAAAGAGTGAACTACTTAAGATCTTATTTATATTTATAGGATGTTTCATAAGGCAGGTTTACTCAATCTTCGTTTTGCTTTACACTACTGAGGGAAATAAAATCAATATCAGGGTGTTCATTTGAGAAAAGCGCCGGACATTCGCTTTTCGTCCTCTCAATTTTGTAAACAACACCCCCGCCACGAGAAGGCAGTGAGTAGGACTTCCCTGGGAGATGCTATATACGCGTGGTCATGTGAGAGCATTTTGAGAGAGAGAGCGGACTCTTCCCACTCTCGGCCATACCAGGGCATTTGGGGGCATGGAATGTCTCTATCATGATTGGTGGACACGGAAAGTCCATCTAGGAGAGTTGGAAAACCCTGATTCCAAACCAATGGTGCACATGGGCTTCAGTATCCTGAAGGAACAAATGGCATATGAATCAATCGTTGATCACCGGCTACCATGGGACTGCATCTTCTTAAGATGCTCCACTGCCTTGTGGACTAGACCTTTAGGTCAAAGGCTCATGGTGTGGCCCCCTAAGAAAACCACCTACTTCAGTTTGGGCATCTGGGCAGTATCACAGCCCTCACACAAATCGAATGAGATTTGTGCGGCGCATATTTATCTGGTGCTTCCTTGTACCAATATTTATGTGTTTAAATAAATAATTCATTTGCGAAACGTTTTGCTTACTTACTAATAGATGGATGATTATAGTAATTATATAGAAAGAAATTAGTGAAATTTAATTTATCAATCATGAAATTGTTTTGTTAAACAAATATCATCCTTTATGAAAACTAACCTAATGGGTTAAGTTGGAGAAAGTATAAACTCCGACTATTCATCTTTGCTTAAACTTCAACAGTTTCCAGTTATTACTTTATTATTGTGACTGAATAAATCTAGAACGACATAAATATTACTGTGTTAAAAGTTAACGAGGACAACACAAAACAAGTGGGGTCAACCTCCATCTCACATAGTATGAGCGAGTCCATTAACGTTATTTCACTTACCTGAAAAATACATCATACAAGTAATGTGTCCATTACAAATACATGATGAAGTGCCTTCAATCTATGCACTATATCAGTCTTTAACAATTTGTTTTGTAGGTTAAGACAACAACAGTAAACTATCGCATAATATAATAAACGATTAATGGATGGTAAACAATTGGGATAGCTGTTTAAGAATTCTGTAATTAGATTCCCGAAAGTTTTTCAGGTGATATCAAAAAACGATCAAAGTCATGTTCAAAATGACGGTTGAACTTCCTTAGACTTCTTGAAGGCAGACTAGTTTAAATCATACATACTGATTTCAGGAAACTGGTAGTAGATAATTCCACGAACTGTGTTTATCAGCAGTGGATTGAGTTACATAAATGTTACCCAAAATGTATATGCTACTCAAATCGTTCGAGTTGCTGCATAATGAATAAAGTAAAGAGAGCTCATAACTCCGATGTAATGTTTAGATAATTTTACAAACCTTCTCTGATACATAACTAATTAATTTTTAAGTAACGTTTTAATCATGTACGCAAAGTATTAGTTGAAATCAGGCGAATTTAACTTTAAATTGTTATCTGTTTAATGGACAACTGTCCTCATAATTGAGGTATGTTAATCGCGTCTTCATGTGAATAACCAATCGATTTAAGTAGCATTGTTTAGAATGTCACAATTGCAGAGATACTTACATTCATCATCGTTCAATAAGTTGTGATTTCTAACAGTATGCAACACTTTTCTTTCTTTAGATAATTAAAATAACTCATAATGTCATTGAATAAGAAAATTTTTCTTTTCGACGAAATCATCATTTATTTAATCTATATATTCGTATATATTGTTATATGGAAAATACGACTCACGCTTTCAACTATGATAAATACTAAATCTCCACAAAACCCATTCTGATAATAATAATATGCTCACTAGTGACTGACTTCGAGAGGTAAATCCAGGAGTTCTAGTGAGAAGCAGTGACCAGTGGAGTTCATACTACGCTTGTTGTGACATAGTAACTCACTGAAGACAATTGGTTGCTCAACTTCGTGGATTGGTCGGAGTTAGACATAAACACCATCGGACGCCGGATGAGTGGTCTATCGATTAAGTGCTCTGGCACGAGACTGGTAGGTCATGGGTTCGAATCTCGTGAGGCGAGGTCGTGGATGCGCACTGCTGAGGAGTCCCACAACAGGACGAAACGGCCGTCCAGTGCTTCCAGGTTTCCTTTGGTGGTCTAGCCTCAACTGACTCATGATTTCAACTGTAAAAATACTAAATTCTCCACAAAACCCCCTCTGATCTAGAGTTTAAATTGTAAAACAGTAATTTAAAAAAACTGATAATAATCAAATATAAGTGCAGAAAAGAAAAAAAACGACAACCAGAAACATACTCATTGAGTGAATTAGGGCTAAGGAAGAGTGAGAGGTTGGACAAATCGTTTCTGCACGCAAAGTCCAGACTTGAGTTTGTGGATTACCAATGCCTGAGCAGTGCATAAAATATTGATTCGAACCCCCTTCGATCCGGTTACTTTGACTCCATAGATTACTTTAAAAGAGGAGTCTTTTGGAGCGATATGTCCACAGTCAATTAAATGCTCTTGTATTTAACTAGTTATCTTTTTACATTCTCGTTTTAACAACCAAGCCGGATAGTGTTCCGAGATGCGTTTGGAAAGTGATCGCTTTGTGCGGCCTATGTAACGTGCCCCACATGAGCAAGTAAATTTATAGATGCACATTGATGTGGCCCAAAGCGAAAGTTTATCCTTAACACACCCCCAGAATGGTAGGCCAGCTAGAGAAAACAATTTGTAGCTTAGCTGTGTAGAATGTTTTATTCCACGATTTTGAAATCCTTTTATTTAGGATTTCAGCAGCCGTGTTTCCTTTAAATTCCATATTCTAAACGATGTTTACTTCTGCACTGTCAAAGCTTATTCCTGATGAAGTCTAGGTGTTAAGTTGCTATCGACGAACCTAGGTGGATAATCATTTTTAATGAGGGCCTGTCGAAGATGAATAGTTCTTCATCTATTTTGTTATTGGACAGATTCGCTTGATCCTAGACGATAACCATATCCCTGTGTTTGGTGCTTTCATTTATTAAGGAATCTGTTAAATTTTTCTTATTGTGTTGTGACAATTTCGACTGATGCAACTTATCCTAGTCAGTCAGTCATAACGTAGAACTTCGTACGTACGTACATCAGTTCGGGTCGCTATACCGCATTAGCACACAGATGCAGTTGTCGATTCAAATCCCATAGTGGTAGAAGTAGTAAGAATATAAGCAGTAATCTGAAAGATTAGGGTTTGAAAATTTTATTCAAAGAGTATAATCCAGTGAAATTAATCCGGAAAGAGAAAAAAGAAATAGACATGAAGAATTCAGAAGATTAGAATTTAGCAGAACACAAAGAGTGGATGCACCTTCGCCATTGCAAACGATTTTGAGCCATGTCATTCAAGGTCTCTAACCATCGGTTTCTATCATCTCGCGAATCCCAACCAGGTAGTCTACACCTATCAACATGGCTCAGTTCACTTGTCAGTGACTTCATCGATTTGTGCCACGTTTTGGTCTGGCCGCTCCTAGCATTCTTCCAACCTACTCCTACATTCTAAAACATTGCACGTCAGGGCAGTCGGTGGTTGAGCATGCGTAACACGTGTCCCAGCCATCTCAACTGATGAAGTTTCACTACTTCATCAATTGATTTACCATCCTTACCTAGTACTCGTTTCCTTACAACTGCATTACTTACTCAATGATCCCAAGATATACGAACCAACTTATTCTAAATCTGATATTGTCTAAATAGATGACTACATTCTAAGCTTGTTTAAACATTCAAATTTACAATGCACACTTTGTACCAATTATAATTTATATCTGAGATACTTTTTTGTTGTTGTCATTCTAATGATTAAAAGCTAATAACAGAGGGAAAAAGAAAATTTTTCTTGTTGTTGTTGTTGAGTAGACTAACAAATATCAAATTACAGAAGAAAAAAACAAGAGAACAAAATGCACTCATCATAGAGTTATCATCATCATCATCATCATTACAATTCAGCATCACAAATTATTCACACTATAACTTTTAAAGAGACTAGAAAAATACAAATCTTAGGGGGACTGAAATAAATTCTATATAGGTTGGTGTTAGTGTTGTTGTTATGGTTTTAGGTAGTTATCACAATATTCTACTGCTTCTGCAGACTAACTGGAATCAAATTTTTTTGTAAAAAAAAAATGCAATATACACAAAATTACATAATGGACCCCTTTATACTGATTAAAATATACGATCATTAATATTAGATGAATCTTGATCTGGTGGAAGACCACGATAACGTTGATATGATTGATTAATAATTGGTTGATTTGGCACTGGTCCTGGAACCATAACATTTAGACCTCGCCTAGTTGGGAAATTAGGATTAGCAACATGACGATAATTATTAGCTAATCCACGTCTAACTCTATTAGCTTGTCCTAAATATTCTAAAAATGAAGCACCATTCTTTGAAAGGCAACTTAAATCACCAGGAGGTGGATCTTCATGAAAAAAATCATGTGATAAAGCTTGATCAGCATCAAGACGTTTGTTTGGATCTAATACTAATAATTTATCAATTAAATCAACAGCTGATGGACATGAAATTTGTGGTGTTAATTTTTCTTTAACATGACGTTTAACATCTTTAGGTAGCTTTATTTTTTGATAAGTTTCTAAATTTTGAACAGTTGGCCAAACCTCCGGTGTAATGGAACCACATAGTTGAATAATTAAATTAAGTTGAAGAAGTTCATTTTCACCCTTTATGATAAAAAGAAGAAGAAGAGAGAATTCAAAATAAACCAAGTTATCTTGAAATAAAATCTTATGTCATATAAGGTAAATACGTTCAGAAATAAGTGTTCGAATAATCAAATAATTTATGAATCAGCAGGTCTAGGCTTCCCTCCCCACAACTTCATCTGTTCTTGTTTAGATAGCCATATATTATCATTAGTCATTATTAGTTTTCGATCGTGATCTAACTTAGATCGGTTTATGAGTTCAATGAGACTATCATTCGTTTTCACACCAAAACCATGTGGCTCAATGTCGTGTACATATACCCCGACTGAAGTTAACAACCAAATGATCACCATGAGTAGTTAGCAATGACAGTCCAACACATATATTATACAGGATAAACAGTTGGAATTACCAATATGAAGTAAATCCCATGTTATATAATTATTTCATTTCTTTTAAGTCAAATTAGATCTTTGTGTTACAGATGTTACGGTTTACAGTAAGCTAATTAACACGTCTCAACCACCTCAGTCGACCAAGATTTACAACCTCATTAACATATTTGCTAGCTATGGGTAGTACTCAACTTTCCCGAAATGCCCCCAACGATACCTATTATCAAATAATTGCAGCCTGTGAGTATCCGTTTTAAAAGACCGTATTTCACAGTCGAGGAGTGAAAAAGAGAGGACTACTGTGCAGGATTTCGTTGGGAAACAGACATATTGTCTACGCTACAAGGATGCAAGTTGACAGAAACAAACTGAGCGTTTCGAATCTCTGTCAAGATTTAGTCAGACATTAACCAATCAGGGCTGATGAAACTTACAAGTACAGTAGTCGATGAACTCGACTATTTGACTCCTTACCACTAGTTTATGCGTTGACGGATACTAGTTTTGAAGCAACATTTCGCATTTAAAGGGAGAAAATCGCGTCCCAAACATTCTTGAATTGTTAATTATTGTGTTTAGTAGACTACAATTTGTTAGCATCCTCACTAAAAATATATCGTCTACGTAATCTCAGTCAATTTGTGGTTCTCTTGGTAAGAAATTAATCTATGAAGTCAGAGAAATAAAGTGTTATCTCTAAAGGAATGTCTATGGTTAAGCTAAACATAAACTAAGATAGTATGCAACCCTAAAGAACACTGATTCGTCGGCTTCTTGTAAGCATCCGATAATATTGCCAACCTATCAGTTAGTGACTGAATCGGTAACCAGACAATATGACCATGAGGAAGCCTATAGCGGTTCGTCTCAAATTTTAGCTGCAATTCACGAGAAAAATGAGATTGTAAGAAAAGATAATCACCGTAAGACGAGAGATAAGAAAATGTGTGATATGCTGGCAACTGAAAATGAGGTTAGTTCAACAAATGATGACCACTCCTTACTTATGCACAGCTTACGAAACTGATGCGAATTTGATCCTGTTGAAGTGAACTACTTCGGATCTTATTCTGTTTGGTGACGGAGGTTAGGGGAAAGGAGAAATGGGTGCGTACTCATGTGTTCATATAATCCGACTTATTTATTTATTTATTCATTTATTAGAACACATAAATATTGATACAAAGCGGCACCAGACACATATGCGCCACGCAAAACTTATTTGGTTTGTGTGAGAGCTGTCACACTGCCCTGGTGTTCAAACCGAGGCAGATGGTTTGCTTAGGGGGCCATACCAGGAGCCTTTGACCTAAAGATCTAACGAACAAGGCAGTAGAGCATCGTGAGGAGATGTAGTCCTATGGTAGCCGGTGACCAACAGTTGGTTCATACGCTATTTGTTCCTTCAGGATCCTGGAGCCCATGTGCACCATTGATTTGGAATCAGGGTTTTCTGACTCTCCTAGGTGGACCCTCCGAGTCCACCAACGCGGTTAAAGCGCCGGACGTTCGCTTTTCGTCCTCTCAATTTCGTAAACAACACCCTCGCCAGGAGAAGACAGTGAGTAGGACTTCCCTGACAGAGGCTGTATACGCGTGGCCATGTGAGAGCATTTCGAGAGGGAGGGCGGACCCTCCCGACTTTCGGCTGTACCAGGGCATCAGGGGGCCATGTCTGATTGTAAGAAAGTGACAACTCAGAACACTTATTATTACGAGGAATATGTCAGTTTTAGCTTTGTTGTAAAAGCAATGTCTATTGTGACGCAGAATAATTCTACAAAACGTCCTCTAATACATCCGAATGAAAATTATCTAGCTCATTCGTCAAAGTAGATTATCCGACTGGTCTTTTTTTATTACCACTGTTTCAATAAGATTTTTCACGTCTACGTACAATAACAAATAAATAAAGTTTGATTTTGTTAAGGTGGATATGTGTCACCAACAAACCAAAATGAAACTTGTCGTTTTGAATAACCTTAAGTACATGAAAAGTTTATTCACTAATTACTTACTTGCATAATAGGGTAATTTGTCCAAAGCTCAGCCATAATGCATCCAGCACCCCATATATCTACCGGTCTTCCATAATAACGATCATTGAGCAAGATTTCTGGAGGTCGATACCATAAAGTTACTACGCGACCAGTATAACGAGAAGCACGGTCAGGTCGAATAGAACTGACAGTAAGCCTTGCCAAACCAAAATCTGCTATTTTTAAAACACCTTCACGATCAATTAGTATGTTAGATGTTTTTAAGTCACGATGAAGAACATTATTTCTACAAGATGTTAGAAAATAATAAAAAATGAACAGTATTTAAAATAATGAAGTGAATCTAAACGCCAGTCGGGATTAGACTTCTTGGGTTAAAATTAGGGATACTCTATAAATCAAAATGGTTGGATTGTGGGTCGTACTATCGAGTTTGTATGTGAAAGTTGAGTAATTTAACTCCTATACTTGAGATTGATATGGAAATCATAGGTGGCAAAATTTTTTTATAGATATGCTAGTGGATGAATTTAGCAACCTAGAACTTGCATTTGGAAAAGGTTTCAGGAGAATTCAAAGGATGTATCCGAATGCTCTTACTACTAAACTATTCATTACTTGTTAAGTATCATTAAAAATTAAGTTCTAGCTAAAAGAAGTTGTTCATCAGTTAATAAGATTAAGGAACTTTATCGTTGGAGGTTATTTTCATAATATACACGATTATGCATTTGTAAACCGTAGAAATTTAGTATGTACTATTTACATGAAAATATTCTTTTATTCCCTTAAATGCATACGGATAATACAAAAACTAGTAAACAACTTATAATGATACTGTGCTCTTACCATTTTGCTAAAAAAACCGCCCACGAAATACCAAAATACCTGAAGTTCATTGCTTATCGTCAGGCTATTTTTTACTAGAAATGAAACTATATCAATCAGTCAGTCAGTCACAACGTAAAACTTCGTACGTACGTAAATCGGTTCGAGTTGTCATTCGCCATTAGCACAAAGATCCAGTTATCGATTTAATTCCCATAGTGGAAGTAGTAAGAGTATGAGCAGTAATCGAAAAGACTAGGGTTTGAAGATGTTATAAAAGGAACTATATATTTACACACAATGATGACCATTCGTAATATCCGTTTGCTTGAAATAATATAGGTGAGGTTAGGATCGAATGTGTGACTTGATGTTTGAAAGTGGGGTTTTTAATAATTAATCAGTAATCCTATTATAACAAACAGTTTATTTTAAAATGAAAAAGTTAAAAACACTTAGCCATTTGAAGATGATATTTACTTGTGTAAAAAGTAAAGACCCGTAAGCAACTGTTGCATTATGCTTTTCTTCACCGGGAGACTGAACTCAACTTTTTGAGCTAATAGACCTGCTAGATCATGCTCACAAATGTCGAACAGAAGATAGAACTCGTATCGGTAGTTGCTAGAAGGGGCAGCTGTAGATTAAAATCAATATTGGATGAACAGTATACCTTTTTTATGACAAACGCCTCGCAAACGCACAACATTTTCATGGGAAAGCGAGCTAAGAATTCTAATTTCACGCAGAGCAGTAACTGGAAACTATACACATTAGAGAAATAATGGTAAAAGTTTACTTACACCTTCTGTTTCTTGCTCAGTTTTAAGTCGTTTCAAAGCATAATGTTGTTTCGTAACTCTGTGGCGAACTTTGAACACTTCACCAAATGTTCCTTGGCCGATTTTCTGAAGTCGCTCATAATCATCAACCACCAAGGTGGTGGTTTTTTTCTCCAATTCACGATCAACATATTTAAGGGCATCCGTATAATCAGCCTCCAACTCTTTTAATAACAAATCTAATTCACAGTCATCCATAGAGACTTCAGCCGCATCTTATTCTGTTTAATATTTGCCAAGCCTCTGTTATGAGTTGATGAAATGATTGAGCTGAAATTAGTAGTCAGACAACATGAGATTATTACCATGTATCTACAAGAATTAATCTAACCAAAAAAACGTTACATCTTTGGGATGAATATCAGTAATAAAAAAATCAGAACTAAAATTGACGTTTTGAGTGGAATACTTCCTTATTTAAAAAAGTCGTTCGCGTATTGTGACAAGCAATGAACAAGAAACTATGGGACAAAGGCATAAGTACTATGACAGTGAAAAAGTAAATTCCGCCCCCAAATATCCTGGTACGGTTGAAAGTGGGGAGAGTCCGCTTTCCCTGTCTAAGTGCTCTCACATGGCCACGCGAATATATAGCCTCTGTCAGGGAAGTCCTACTCACTGTCTTCTCCTGGCGAGGGTGTTGTTTACGAAATTGAGAGGACGAAAAGCGAACGTCCGGCGCTTTAACCGCGTTGGTGGACTCGGAGGGTCCACCTAGGAGAGTCAGAAAACCCTGATTCCAAATCAATGGTGCACATGGGCTCCAGGATCCTGAAGGAACAAATAGCGTATGAACCAACTGTTGGTCACCGGCTACCATGGGACTGCATCTCCTTACGATGCTCCACTGCCTTGTGGACTAGACCTTTAGGTCAAAGGCTCCTGGTATGGCCCCCTAAGCAAACCATCTGCCTCGGTTTGAACACCAGGACAGTATCACAGCCCTCACACAGATCGAATGAGATTTGTGCGGCGCATATTTATCTGGTGCTTTCTTGTACCAATATTTGTGTTTAAATAAATAAATAATCCAGAAGAGAAATGAAATCTCAAGAGTAATATATATCAAATACATTAGAAGTCTATATACACAACTTCAATCGTATAATATAAAAACAGAGAATGAAAGTACGAAGATGACAATTAAGCTGCCAGAACGGGTTTCGTATCTTCTATGTCTAAACTTTTTCACTGTCACTGATAATGATCCTACTTATACTATTCTGCCACCTCGCTGTGTTGAAATGGTTTTGCAACCTGAACCAATTCATGTATATGCCATGTCCCACACTGCCCATAACTGACCAGTTGTGTATGGTTGACTTTGAGTCACTCTTTATTCAGAGGTGAACAATAATATTTGTTTACTCATACCAAAGTAAATGAAGTTGGTTACAGTCAGTGACTCATTAGTTGAAAAGAAAAAAACCAAATTACTAGGGTAAAAGATTGTCTGCATATAAATCAGCTAGAGTTCATACTATAAGTAAGGTTATCTTGAAATTTTATTAGTCTTAAAACCTGACCGTAGTTTCTACACTAGTGTTGTGGTTAGGATTCAGGTATTTCAAACTTGGACTCAGATTAGTCGCATCGTAATCAGCTACTGCTGGCGTGCTCTTTTTGGAATACTTGTCTGGACTATGATCACGCCTTTGTTTTTGCCAATCTTATGTTTCAATAGCTAACAAATTCATCATCGTAAACAGATAGATGCAACTAAATGTCAAACGGAACTAGGTTAAGGTTGATCACCAACCCACTGAAAAGTAGAGATGAGCAATGGGTTTATTTGAGTAACTTTATAGAAATGGCGAGTAAAGTAGTTTGCGGCTTCGCGAAACATCCCGCTTATAGGCACTGGGTTTCTAAAGGTTTTTCACAACCCGTTGAGGCACATTGGTCTACCCCAACTAACCACGAGTTGGCGGTAAGCGTACATTTTTAAATCCTCATATGTCCTAGTACGGCCAAGAATGTGGAGAGTCTACTTTCCCACTCGAAATGCTCTCATATGGCCACGCGCATATAGTCATTGTCAGTAAAGTACTACTCACTGCCTTCTCGAGGCACGGGTGTTGTCTACGAAATTAAGAGGACGAACAGCGAATGTTCGGCGCTTTAACCGGGTTGGTGGATACGGCGAAACCATTTAGGAGAGTTGGAAAATCCTGATTCCAAATCAATAGTGCATATGGGCTCCAGGATCCTGAGGGAAAGAATGGCGTATGGACCTGTTGTTGGTGACCAGCTATCGATGGGCTGCATCTCCTAACGTTGCTCCACTGAATTACCGATTAGACCTTTAGGTCAGAGGCCCGGGGAAAGAAACCACCTGCTTCGTTTTGGGCAACCGGAAAGTATCCCAGCCCTCACACAAATCGAATGATTTGTGTGGCGCATGACTGTTTGGTGGCATATTGTACCAATGTTTGTGTTTAAATGAATAATAGGGATATAATCGTGCTGTATCATCCCAACAGACATACGTTTTGATAATGAAACATCTAAGAGGGTAACCTACTATGGTATACCACGAAAAAAACATCTAGAAATATGTAGGAACGTTCTCGTGAGGAATCTGTTGACTAGACATATCAATGAAGGCAGCAACAGTAAGGGAACCTCCAGTTGATTCTTTCGGAGACCCAAAGGTTGTTATACTTTTAAGGTCTAGTTGCTCGATCACGCCTTCTATTATTAACTAGATTTTTAATACTTCACATTCCTAATGGGCTTAGAGAAGAACCACACTACATAAACCAAGACTCGAATTAACTGGGGAGTACAGGTAGACCCCGTGATCAAGTGTATTATTGGTTTGACTTATAATAATGTGTCGGAAACTAATCTCTTTCACACAATACTAAGCAGGTGAAGAAAACTTACCGTAATATTATTGACTTGCAACCAGATATACTATCACGAGAATTAACAATGGAGTCTACAAGTCAAGTGAATCGATTACTAATGGAGCACGAATATTGTAATTAGCCACTGAAACTTGATGCTAAGAATGGTAACGTATGTCTACGTATAATTCATTATTCAATAAAGTAGGTAGGAACTGACACGGAACCTTGACCTTATATCCTTACATGAAAGATCTCAACATTTCCTATATCTTTCGAGCTTGATAGCATTCAGTTTTCTGAATCTAAATAGCTGAGGGGAGTTAAGATGTATTGTATTGACTCTATTATTTAGACATGAAATCACTACATGAAAAGGTTTATCACCCCGGTATATGACCCTAATGCTTCTAAATTAACGGTACTTTTCATAAGGATTACATGCAGTACCAACAAGACATGTCACCTTGATTTCAAATTCTCCAAGGACGCCCCGAATCTTTTCAAATAATTTAATATGCAAATAATTCAAACCTCAAACTCTGTTCAGAAGGTTGTAGGGACATTCGGCTACTCTGTATCTGTGCATTGGTTTTACGAGAAAGTCCTTAGAATTTCACAATGTTCTAAGTGCTCGAAAGGCTTTTGTTTAGTGAGTTTCTGAGCTTTGTAGTGACCTGCCAGTCTCGATAAGAACACGATTGGAATAACGGAAACAATTATTATTATTGTAACCAATTGTACCAGAGATTGTTTTACTTTATTTGTTTAACTGTATCAGTTTCACTTCTGCTTTCGCTCTCCGCCTTGTTTGGTCCGAACTTGCTCACGCACTGCCTGTTCGCCTGTACTCTTTGGCACGTCTCTGTATTATTTCGATACCACGAGATCGCCAATAAATACAATTGATCTGGACTAATAAAGCCTTCTGATTTACAAAGGAACCAAGTCGTTTTTGGGCGCGTAAACGAATTGTAGTGGTGATCATAGTCCGTCTTCGACTCGACATCCACTAAAGTTTAAAAGCAAACACTTAAGATGCTTCCATAATCAGAAAAACTGGTAGTTGTTAAGCTAATCGGTTCGCTGAAGAAAGTGAATAAAAATGTATTCAGAATTCTAGAAGCTTGTGCTTAGCATGCCGAAAAATTTTTATACTTCATAAATTTGTTCTAGACAAACAGACGACTGATTTTTCTCCCGGCTGAGTTTGAAATAACAACTTATTGATGCTTTTGGTTGATTTTATCATTCAGACGTAACATTATGGTTCGTTAAGGTCTTACATGAACTACCGTTCGAACTGACCAATAACGATGAGTGTTAGAGATAACCAGGAACAATTTGAACTGTCTAACAGATTTAGGCTAAAATCAAAGGACCTACGTAACCAACAGAATTTCAATGTGTTGTTCGCAGTATTAAGTCAGTCAGCAGCTATACTAATATCAGTTTAACGAGAAAATATTCGTGACGGGGTTTCCTTTATATCGTCTCGCTAATTTATGGTCGTAAAAATATTGGATTCAGAAGTCCATGATGTATCATGAACAACAACCAAATGGCAACAGAATCAAACAATAATGAAAAATATCTGAAAAAATAATGTCGGCAGTATAAGATGCAGATAAGAAGGATATTTCGCTGCACCTTCGTGTCATCTGTGGCTACGACATCTATTGTGGACATGTGACTACTGCAATTTGATGATTTACACAGGCAAATATGAGTCAGTTGATTGCAAATTAAGCTATTTTTTGGAGTGCACTTTAGTCTGAATATAATTTATAGTCAGGAAGAATCAGGAATACTGTAGACTCGGCTTTCAACTAGTAAGACAAATATGATCAGCAAGTTTATTCAGAAATGATAAAAATTACATTTTTAACTGCAAAACAACAAAGGTGACGCATGCATGACTAATACTATTATCGATGGAGTCAGCGAGGTGATAATTTTGATCCTCATTCAGTTCTTTTAAATTCCACTGTAAAAGTGCAGTATATGAACTAATCAATCATAATCGAGAAGACCGCTTTCAGGTTTTCGGACAAGTCCGAAATTAAGTGGACTTTATCTCACATTACCTTAAAAGGGAAGTATGATAACATTTATGTAATGTTCATAATGTTTAAATGACAGCCAAAAGTTAATTTTCGTCACCGCAGAGTAAAGATAACAGTATTAAACATATTAAGTTGTCATTTCTTATCACCATCTGTACATAATATTAGAACAGCCCATACCTCGAAATCCTAGCCCCTAAACCCTTAAGTCTGACCCGTACAATAAATCTAACAGTTTGACCTTAACCCTGAACGCCTTATATTGAATCTATAACACTAAATCCATGATCTTTACCAAAACGACCCAACTTAAACCGAGAAGAATTTAGAAGCTATTGGAAACAATCTGCTAAAATCCGTTGTGGCTGTTACGTTTGTTCCTGTACTCTTACCAAATCACAGTTTTCAACTTTAATGACTTTAACGTGTCTTAAACAGGTTGGTGTCAAGATCTGACGAATGTGAGTCAAAATCACTTTGTAACAGCTTTAACGAAGAGGCTCCCCCTGTGTTGAAAGTGAACAATACTTTTTACGAGATATCTGCTTCTTGATATTGAGATAACGAAGTATTGTATCCAATTTCGTCATTTATTTCGTCCTAACGGCCAAGCTTGGGTCATAATTAGTGTTTATGGTTCCGAGAATCTGCTCAACTGCACCTTAGCCAG